TGGGGAGTCCCTCTGTTTTGCATCTTCTGACAAACAGGCCTTTGTATGTCTGACTCTTGGGGAAAGCACCTTTTCCTCCCCTCCCCAACACTTGCAATGCAACAAGGGGTTGGTTGGCTCTTTGTTTTCTTCCTCCCTTCAATCCTTCTCTTACGTCTGCCAAAAAATGGCACTTCAGGCAGCTGACAGGACCAATGAAAACAACATTAAAATGCAATAAACACAATAAAATTAAGAACTCAATTAAAATCAACTCCTGACCGACTTTACAGGCTAAAGGCCTTCTCCTGCTGGCAGAAGGAGAGTGTTTAAGAAGCAGGCTTCCTCCTGGGGGAGGGAGTTCCGTACTGGGGAGGCACTAAAAATTCCTCTCTTAGATGGCCACCAAGCATGCCTCAGAAGGGGTGGTCTGGAAAGAAGGGAGTCTTCGGATTCAGGTGGGTTGTGACGGGAGAAATGCAGTGTGTACACAGCCCCACTCAGCAGCCTGGTCTGAGCATTCTGGAGCCGCTGAAGCTTCTGAAGGTCTCAGCAGTGCCGACGTCCTGCTGGCTGCTGCCAGAACCTCAAGGACAAATCCAGAAGTGCACCCACCCCGCAGAGCTGAGTCTTTGGGGCAGTGCAGTGCCTTCCAGAAGAGGCCAAGTACCTATTCCCTGATCTGACTCTTGCCCAGCCATAAAAGCACTTCTGGCTTGTCTGCTTATACGCCAATTTGTTTGCCCTCATCCAGTTCATTACCAACATCAGGCATCCTTTTAGAACCTTTAATTTCTAATTAAATTAGAAATTTTTAATTTTTAATTTCTTGATGGTTTGTAGATGGAAAGGAGATACTGCAGCCCCACCTCCTGAATGGTTAGCGGCAGGGCAGATTTTAAGCAAAAATAGTCCTTGGCTGACAGTGGAATATGGTCCCTGGAAGCATCCTCAGAAAGGAAGAGGTTCTGCACACCTGACCTCCCAGGTTCCAGTGTACGCCCTGGGCCAGCATGGGCCTACACTGGGATCCAGCAGGGACAGTAACTGCCCAGAGAGCTGCAGCTGTGGACAGTGTAGAGATGATGATGATGTTCATGTTCGTTCGTTACTCCATTGTATAACTAGGATGGTTGGAAGAGTGTGTGCATGATTGCAATGCTCATTATTACCTTCTGCAAGCACCCCCCCCCCATTGTGAAGCGTGGAGTGGTGGTAGGGAGAAGAGCAAGGCTAATTGTGTTTCACAACTGTGTCACGCAAAACGCAAAAGGGGTGTCTTTAACGTGATGGGGAAAAATCTTAGTCGAGAGTTCAGCTGTGGCTTCACCTCTCCGTTTCTATGTTTCTGGCCTTCTGTTTTGCAACTGCGTGGCCGCTCCATATCCCTCAATCGTGCTCTGCCATTGTGGTTTCCCGTTGCTTCCTTGCTCGGCACTAATAAACAAGATGTACCCAAATATCTCTCTTCCTGAATGACAGGGTGCGGGCAAACTCAGGTGCCTAAAGTATTTTTAAATAATGTGGAGCTACAGTCTGTGCCCACACTGCTTGCTTTCAGGCTGTATTCCCCCGGTTTAGAACTGCTGACTAATAGCATCTTACAGACTAACAATGTTTTGAAATTTTTAATCGATCCTCTACCTCAGCAGAGCCTCAAGTCTTACAAACAGGTAAAATGTTAATAAAACTAAAAGTATTAGTGTGCTCGCATTCAGGTGACCCCATATGAAAGAGCAGTATAAAAGCGATCCAGAAAAGGAAATGCCAGGTAGCATAAAAATGATGCACCTGGGGGTAGGTGTGATTTGCTCCCACAGCTTTATACATACCTGTGCACATGCCTGCTTGAGGGCTTGGTGCAGAAACTTGACTTAATGTTGTTATGTGTCATCAAGTTGTCCCTAGCCTGTGGGGACCCTGTGAATGAAAGCCTTCCAAAATGCCCCATTCATGACAGCCCTGATCAGCTCTTCCAAGTCCAAGGCTGTGGCTTCCTTAGTGGAGTCCGTCCATCTCTCATTTGGTCTTCCTTTCCTCCTCCTGCCTTTGATTTTCCCCTGATAGGATTGGTTGCTCCAGGGAGTTTGCCTGGTGTTGTATTTGAAGTATGACAGCTTCAGTTTTGCTTGTAAGGAAAGCTCTGGTTTGATTTGCACTAGGACTTGCCTTTCTGGAGACTCGGGGTATTGGCAGAGCTCTCCTGCAGCACCACGCTTCAAACACTTAAATTTTCTTCCTTGTCCAGCTTTCACACCCATACATTGTGATTAGGAATATAATAGCTTGGATGACCTTGACCTTGGTTTCCAGCAAAATGGCCTTGGTGATCTCTTCTGGTTCCTTCATTGTTGCTTTTTGACATAATGCATTTGTTAATTTTTAAAGTAACCTGGCACCGTCTAGAGCTGTATGGTTACAATTCCAGCTTTCCTAGTGGTGCTAGCCAGAATGGAAGGGTAAGCACTCTTTCAAATTCCTTCTTAAAGAATTACATGTTGCTTAACTTGTAGATTACAGCAGACCCAGAAACGGAAAATACATTTTGAAAGCTCCTTGCTATTCTTGTTTACCTGAAATTTCCATTTGTGGCTGTTAGTGAAGGGTTCTAAAATTAGCTTGATAGCAAAACTAAGGAATTTTTTTGCTTGCTTGGGGTTTGCTTGCTTGCTTCCAATTAGAAGTGTATGGAATTAGCAAGAAGTAGTCTCTCAGTTACTTGAAAAGATAGTACCGGTATATCATACCCGTACACGGGAAATATCTGGGAGTGGGTGACCTTGGAGGTAGCTGTGGAAACTGCATTAGCATCTGAGCCCATGTGCTTTAGTCACACCTGAAGAGGGAAAGTATATCAAGTGCAAGGAGCACGTTAATTCTCCCCAGAAGCTTTTTGTTCTGCACAGGCAACATTTTGAGATAGCCATGGCCTGACTCACGCACCTTGCGTAGCTTTAATCTTTCATCCAGGTAGTAGTAAGGTGTGCTTTCTTTAGTAAGCAAACTGGGGAAGAAGTCCTTTATTTCAACATATAGCACAGTTTTGAGTCACTAGAATCGTTTTAATCTGCTGATCACTCGTTCATGGTTTACTGAACCGGTTCTCATTTTTTTCATCATTGCACTTAGTCATATTTCTTTGTATGTTGGCGCTTTGTATCTTGGTTTTGTATTTTAATTTTGATGCATCCATTGAGAAATAAGCTGAACTGTATTTCACATTCGGAGAGGTTGTGGGAACTTTAAGAACTGGTGGATCGGGTTGGCTCAGGACCTGGGATGCAAATTCTGATTTGCTGGTTATCTTTTAGGATGGATATTGGGCAAGGAGAGAATCTTATCTTGGTCCTCCACACGTTCTTGTCTGCAACCTGCCATGCCTTGCATGGGGGGGCGGGCAATTCAAGTAAGCTTCTGAGCTGGACACGTACGGGCATCCAAGGCTCGGTGCAAGGCATGGCAGGGGCAATTTCTCCCCCCTGTGCTCTGTACTCTGTATTTAGCTGTTCAGATGAAGTATTGTGGGCGGGAGGGAGGGAGAGAAGGACACTGGATGCCCTGTGGATACAATGCAAGATGTTGACTCCAGCCTCCCAGCCTCCCAACATGCCTCTTCAATCTCTGAGGTTGGTTTCCGACCTTGGAGATGCAGCCCGTGCGTTTCTTTCCATGCCGGTTGCAAGCCGGGCTGGGAATGCTACATTTGGCATTCTGGCTCTTCAGTCCAAAAACCGTGGAGCTGGACCACCGAATCCTAGGCCCCCGCAGGCAATAATGAGAGGCCATAGCACTGTCCCCGTGGGTGTAATCATATGCACATTTAGAGAGGCCTAAACACCCAGCATTCCCAGCCCAGGCCTTTCTTATATCCAAACCTGCATAGGATTGCACTTTAGAAGGTAATTTTAATAAGGAACATGGTGTGTGGGGTGGAATTGGGCTGGGGAAATACTTTTTTCCCATCTCTTCAGGAAATTCTTTTTTCAGTTGTTTTGCACTGCAACTCCCATCCATGACCATTGACCGTGCTTGCTGGGGCTTATGGGAGTTCAAATCCAAAACATCTGGAGGTACTTAGTTGAGAAACACTGGCTTAGAACATCCTGCTGTCATGCGGAGCTTAAGCTTTCCTTGTCAACAGTTAGGCACCAAAGCCATTGGGCAAGATACTTCTTCGTTCTGCTTTCCATTTAAAAAAATAAATAAATCCCTAAAGTCCTGGTGGTCGCACTCAGCCTTTTCACAAGGGTTTTCTGCTGCATGGAACAAAACAGTTCTGAAGAGGGTTTAATTGTTCCTGTTTCTTTCACTTTTGTGGTCTGCCAAAACAACCCTTCCTAGCCCAAGACCGGCACTTTTGCCCGTTACTGCTCACTAGCTGATAGATGCATTGCTTATAGACGTAAGTACAGGAAGGTGCGGGGGCTGCTCCATGATTCATAATGGAATTATAATGAAAACTTTTGCTCTTCCTTCCCTTTGCCCTCAAAATCTGAGACGCTGATACCTTGTAGAAGCAGGCTAATACTTGTACAGGAACAGTTGACTCATACTTAGAGCACTTCTGGGTTTATGTAGAATTATGGATTCTAGAGTACAGAAAACAGTTAACTGGAGTCTTTGGACTTCAGATCCCAGCAATGTTGGCCATTGGTCAGGTTGGCAGGGACTTGAGGGAGTTGAAGTCCAGAAACATCTGGAGATGTACCTTTTTGGCCACCTGCTTCTAGAACAGCTCTGCACAGCCAGGGACCACGTGTTATGGTTACAGTTCCCTGTCCTCTTCTGTCAGCATGACTGTGATGTGCTGGCTGGTGAGGATGGGAACTGTAGTCTCAGTGGCACCAGGGAAAGCTCTCCTTTGTATTCTGAGCAAAAGTGCATCTAGAAAAAGAAGGCGCACAGGATCGGTTATGGGATTGGCAGCCCTGGTCATGAGATGTTGCCACTTGAGCATGTGGGCCTCTGACAGAGGTGCCGCAAGCTAAAAAGATTCCCTTGTCTCTCGTCTTTGCCCTCAGCATGACGCCACGGCAGCAAGTCTGCTTCCACCACAGGATCAGAACAGCTCTGCTCCTGCAGCCCTGCAAAATAATGAGAGCGACTTCTATTCCTATAATGGGTACCGTTGCAAGAAATGCCATCCAGGTACGGTGTCCTCAGATCCAGTTCGCTTTTAGCATTCTCTGTCTAGGCTGCTGCTCTTTGAGTCAAGCTGGGTTGAGTGAGGAATCCCTTTCATCCCACACCAGATTCCCTGGGTTTGGCTTCACGGGCTCTGGTCCCCTTTGCAGCAGCCCAGAGTCTGAACTTCTGGAGAGTGTCCCCGAAGTTCACAGGGCGCTTGCCGGGAATTGAGCCCCATGCGCCACGCGAGCAGCACCATTCCCCCACACCCGCCATCGCCATGGGCAGCATCCGTAGGGTTGGCCACTGGGAACGGCAGCTGGGAATGTCGCCGGTTGCACAGCCTGGGTCCATGAGTGTTTGTGGACTGCCTCTTGGTCTGGCTCACTTTGCAGGACCAGGAGTGGAAGTGCATGAATTCTAGAGGGAAGCGTTTTGATGGGGTTTGGCCCAACCCTTGTGTTTGCCGATTATTTCTCTGTGTGTTGGCCATGCAACGCTGCATGACGTGGTCAGCATTTTCAAGGTCACAAATCGCTTCCCAAGAATGTGCCTGTATGGTCCCCTCCCCCCAGTTATTTCATGATTAATTATTTTTTGGCCTGTGGACACTCTTCAGGCACCAACAGCCCAAGTGGCTATGAGGACTAAAATTTTGGGAAGGTCCCGTCTTTCCAGATGCTCCTTTCCAGATGCTCACTTTTCTTTAGCCCCCTATCTTTGTTTTCTCTGCTGGGTGCCATTTTCTTCCCAGCCTTTTTGCTTTCTCTATCCTTGAGCTTACCTGAGTGTGCTGAAGTCCTGATGAGGACGCAGGAAGTCAGTATATCAGAAGCAGAAAGGGCAACAGAAGGCCCTTAGCTGACCTGCTTCCTAGTTAGGGTTTTAATGCTGCTGAGCTGGGCTTTGGGGGGCAGGCAGGAAGCAGAAGGCATGGGGAACACGGGGGAGGGGGTGCAGGTACGCTTGCATGTGGCAGTGTTCATGGGGGCACGTTGATTCTGTCTCTCTGTCCAGCCCCTGCCGTCTCTGACATGAGGCTTTCGGGTCCTGGAGACACTTCCCTTGGTGCCTGCCAGCTTCTCTTCCTCTCCTTGCGGTTACTTCTGTTTTACAGACCTTCAAAATACAAACCAGAAGGCTCATTTTCCCTAACACCGGAAGGGCTTTCATTCTTTCTTGCAGGTAATCGCATTGTCACTCACTGCACAATCCCAGAAACTGCCTCGCAGTGCCAACCCTGTGATCGGGATACATATTTCAAATATATGAATCAGTTGGACAAATGTCTTCCCTGTAAGATTTGCAGAGACTTGGGTAAGGAATGTGAAGGATGGTGGGGGGAAAAGGAGACCGCAAACTGCATGGTTACCAACACAACTTCTTGTTGTTACTGTCGTCATCATGATAGAATTTGGTACGTCTCCATAGGTTGTGGAGGGCCCTGGCCAGGTCAGCCATGTGCCTGCCTGCAGCCCAGATCTTAACTGTTAATTGGTAGCAGTTCTTTAGAAGAGAATTGGATTGTGCAGCCCTTTGGATGGACAGTGGCCCTCTTGAAACTTCTCCGCCCGCTTCCCGTGAAAGAGGCACATATCCACCCTGCACGCTCGCATCATTTCTGCAGAGGATGGAAACAAACAGTCTGAATCATTTGGAAAGTGTGGGGCAGATTCACTGCTGGACTGCATTGTCTTTCACCACGTGCTGTACTGCACAGGGCTGATGGGAATTGCATTCCGAGCCACAGTTGAAGCAGCCCGCTGTTCCCCACCCCTGGGAGCTCCAACCTGCAGAAAACAAAACGAAGTTGGTTAAAACTTGTGGAGGGGGTTTATGGTAGCCTGGGAAGTGCATACCTGTTGCTAAAGATTATTTCTTATTTTTAAAAGAAATGCTGAGATTCACAGGAAGCAAAGTCCCATAGTTGGTATCACCTCCCAGACAGGTTATTTGTGCCTGTGAAATGGAAGCTTGCAAATAACAACACCTCCATCATTTAGCTCTATGGCAGCCCCATGGCCAGTTTCTTGATTCTGGAGGGTTTCCCCCATTCTGAAAGGTTGGGATGCTCTTCTCGCGGCTTCCTTCCTGGCATTAAGAGAGTGAAGGCATCCTGCCATCTTTGGCACGTTGGCCTCCCCACTGCCCTCAGCCAAATGTGGTCCCCCAGGAGTGTTTCCAAGATGGAATTGGGCCATGCAGCTGACAGAGGCCCCATGGCCCTGTGCTCAAGCACCAACATGGCTGCATTTTGGGCATGTTTTACAGGTTTTTTCCAAGAGAAAAAAACTTGGACTATGACTCCAAGAACGACTGAAGATTCTGCATATTTGACTTCTGTTGTCTTTCCAGATGAAGTGGAGATCCAGCCGTGTACCCAAACCAGTGACACAGAGTGTCGGTGTAAGAATGGTACCTACTGCGTTCCCCGCTTGCCTTGTGAGACGTGCCATAGATGTACACCCAGGTCAGCATTGCCTGCCGCTGCTTAGGCTTTCACAGTGATCTGGTATTCTGTGTTCTGCTACCAAAATTTTGGGAGGAGCTTGCAGAACTTAGAACAGCCTTCCCCAGCCTGGTACCACCCACATATTTTGGATTACAACTCCCAGCTTTTCTGACCCCTGACCACATGCAGGCTGGGGCTGGTGAGGGCTGAAGTCCAAAACATCTGGGAAGGCTGATTTAAAATGCCTCCCAGGTGTGTCGTTCCACATTTTGGGTCAGATTAAACTAGGAATGGGGAATGAAGTTGAGGTTTCTGGCAAGCGTGGGAACCTGTAGCCTTCTAGAGCTTAATGGCTGCAGTTTCCATCATCATTAACTGTTGGCTGGGGCTGATGGGAGTTATAGTCCAGCAAAATATTGGGCTACAGCTTTTCCAGCTCTGGCTTAAGAGCTATGTGTCAAAAGAGAGTAATGGGAGATAAAGAGGCCAAGGTCTTGGGGAGATGGAAGCAGATGCGCCAAATGGACTTGTGCACCTTAATCACTGCTGAGGGATTTGACTTCACTCTTACTTTTAGTAGAGTCAGATGGTACATATCAGACTTTGCTCTGCAAATAAAATAACTTTTGTAAAATGCAAACGGACAGCGTGGGAGCTAGAAGCCAAGAAAAGTAGGCACATCCATCAGAAATGATGCTGCAAATGAAAAGGCCATCTGTTCTGACAAGAATTGTGAAAAAGAAATCTTGGTGAAGGAGGAGGAGGCACTGAAATGCATTGGGCATACTGGTTGCTTTCACACTTAAGGCTAAACCAACAAATTTTGGCATAACAAATCACAGTGTGTATGATCCGTATGCTGGTTGCAGAATCTGTTTGCTGTCGCTTCAGTGCAAGCAGGTAAAGAAACCAGGATGGGGATCACTTTGCATGACATTGGAATCCAGGTTTATGCTTATATCTTCTCAAACAAGACAGGATTTATAAACCAGATTTAACCCAGGTTTGTTTGGTTATACATATTGGCTTGTTTGGCTGCACTTAATCCTGGGTTTGGATATTGTGCTAAGATGTCTTTTCCTAGTCCATTCACTCTCATGAAGGGGAGAGTGAATGGACTGTGAACACCAGCCTTCAGCAGCACCTGTTAAGCCAGGGTCTTTGGCTAGTAATACCAAAATGGCCATCGCATCCTCCATTAAAACATTGTCCACTCCTGGTGTTATTTTAAATCTCTGTATCCTTTTCTCCCCCTTTTCCTTTTGGCTTCCAGTTGCCTTGGCATTGTCCTTGGCATTTTCTTCTGTTCATAGTATCGAGAGCTTCCCCCCCCCCATATCAGAAATCCACAAAATGAGATTTATGGTTCCGCTATAGTCAAGTGAATGCCTATTGATCTTTCTCTCTCCTGACCTACCAAGCAGCAGAATTGAAGAGCTGAATTAGACATTCAGAAAAAAGCATGTGATAACATTTCTTAGAGCTGTACCTGTTCAGGACACCTTCAGGGAGTTGTGTGTTTAAATGTTCTTCACTCTCTCACAGTAGCATTTCAAGGTAAAGGCTTGACTAGCATCCTTCTTTGCTGTTAATGGCAGGAAGCTTTACACAGGAGAGAATATTCAAGACTTTGCTGGTTTTTCCCTTCTGTGCTCTGAGACAGTGCAATCCCTAGAAAGCAAAGAGGGTGTTTCATAGGAAGGAAAATTAGGTACAGTTTCCTGAACACTGAGCCTCTGTGGATTATTTAATTGAGGTACTTCTCACCAGGTGAAATCCCGATGGGTTAACAGCAGAATGGGAAAATGCAAATTTTCACACTTTATACATATTACATGTACTGAACTCTGTGCTTTCCCTGTTCTGACAAAGCAATAAACAAGAAGAAACCTGAGCAAGGCAGCCCAAGATTGATGATGGAATTTGAAAAACTTGGGTAGATTTGTGTCCAGAGCCATACCTGATACGCAGACATACTTACTCTGAATCTTCTTTCAATTTCTAAAAGTGCTCTTGTGGGAAATCTAGTTTCACCCACACTGGTTTCCTTGTCTTGACTCCTAGTTGTCCGAATGGGGAAAAGATGGAGCAGCCCTGCACCCCTACAAATAACATAAAATGCGTCCCTCTGCCAACCTCACCGACTCCTGCGACAGCTACAAATGTGGGTATGTACGTGTGTATATGGGTGTGTGATGGATTTTCAATCAAAACTAGCAGGGCCTGCAGCACGGTTTTGCAGCCTGGAAAGCACCTGATCAGGGGACCAAGTTAATTGGCCAGCCATGCCCTTTTCCAGGGCACTCCATTTTCCCACTTCCCTGTTTTTCTGCCCCCCCGCCCCCACAGACATGCACACCAGGCGGCCAACACTCCATGCCCCCACTGAGCCTGCTCAGTCTCCAATGGGCTGTTTTCTTCACATCCCCCAAAAAGGGGTTTTTCGCCCACTAAGGATTTTGTACCTTGGCAAACGTTGGAAACCTTGGAGGCGCAAGGAGACATCTCCACTTGTGCTTGGAGGGTGCAGCTTGGCTTGCTTAAGAGGGAATCCTTGAGTTCACGGTTATTACAAAGAAGAAACAATTACCCAATTTTGCTCTTTTGAGCAGAATGAGTGGCAGGTGTGGGGATGAAATGCTAAGGACCATTTTCTACATCTTACCTGGTTGCTGTTTATGTCCTCTTGAGGTGCCCTTCCTTGGATTTTGTCCTGTTCTGTGGTGGCCGTATTGGTGGTCTTGTGTGTGGTCATCTACAAATGCAAAGGCCGATGGAGTTGCAGTCGTGGAGGTGAGAACAGTGTGTTTCCCTGTTTGACATTGCTAATGATGCAGGGAAGCGTTGTAGCCAGGATGGTGTTAAAATTACAGGTTACAGCCCCCTCTCCTTGGGAGAATGGAGCATGCAAACCTTATTTTGGAGGCTTATGGGGATATACCATGCAGCGGCATGTCCAAACAAAACTTTCTGACATTTCTGCTTTTTCCAGCTCATTCTAGGAGATTGAAACATCTCTCCTAAACTGATGGAAAGAGCTTTAAACTAAAATGCCTTGGTGCGTTTAGGCTTGCCCCCTTCTGCCCCGCCCGCCTGTGGAACCTGGCTCCAGAAGAGTCTCCAGAATGGAATTCCACCTTCAGGTCAAAGAGGTTCTGGATCCCTGGTTTCCTTCATATGACATCTACCCGCCCGGGAGGCTGTTTGTGGAGAGGCACCTTCTGGAGCTTTCGGGCTGAGCGGTGCTGATCATACCTGTTTTTCCTCTCGCAGGCAACCAAACGGGGACCGCGGCACGCATGTGGCGCGTGAAGGTGAGACCTGCTGTCTTCAAGGGTAGTAGGTGAATGGCTTCCCTTGCCAACAAAACGTGGACGTTCATAAAGACATTGCATAGAAAACTGCCTTATGTGGTGTGTGAGCCCTCAAGCTCGCTCTGTTGCACCTTCAGACTACAATTCCCGTCATTCGTGATTATTGGCCATGCGGGGCGGTGGGGTTGAGTGAAACAGACAGCCAAATAATCTGCAGGACATGATGGGGCTTTGCACAGACTGGTGGTGTGCCTCCCAAGTTTTCAGACAAGCGTCTTTTCCATCCCCACTTAGAGATGCTCAGAATTGAATTGGAGGCCTTTTGCAGGCAGAGCGTGTGCCCAGTCCCTGAGCTGTGGTTTCTTATTTTGCAATCCTGAAATAAAACCCTGCACCTGTAGCGTTACAATATTGCATTATTAAAAATCAGGTTGCCTGCTCCTGGGGGAGCGGTTTGTTTTTGTATTTCACTTTTGGTACTAAGATAACAAAGCAAGCAGGCCTCTTTCCTCGCCTGGCTAGACAAACGCCAGGAAGAACATGCCCGTTGGAACAGTAAGAGGTTGGGTTTTTTGAGCTGAACTGCAATATGGCAGAACTTCAACATCTTGGAGAGAATCAGGCACTCCTAGGGGAACTGTCTGCAGTCCATTTACAGTGGAACATCTCATGAAACATAGTTTTGTGATTTGTTGCACTTGGGCTAAAGGAGCAACTACAGACCGTCCGGGGCTGATTCAGAGCCCGGGCCGTGTGGGCTGGAAGCGCCTCATCAAGTTGGACTCTTCCATTTCTTAAAAGTTATCCTTTCGTACTTGTAAAGTGATTTCTTCTGCAACGAGGGGATTACCTTGAATAGCTCAGAATGTAATTGTATATACATCTAGTTGGGCATGAATTCTTTTTAGTGCAGGGAGACTTGCTTTTGATGGACCAGAGTGTTGTAAAGCTCACAGAAGGGGTACCCAAGTGTAAAGAGGATGCAGGTTGCTAATGTGGCCTCATGTTTTGTATTACAAGACTGTCCAGTGCTTGCGGAGGAATTGCAGTCAAAGGCAACAGGAAGAGCATGACAACATGTTGAATGCACACGTTGATCCGGGGTCCCAGCAGAGTCATACCAGCTCCAGCATGACTGAAACGCTACCTCTTCAAGTGCCTTCTCCGTCAGAAGAGGTAACTGGGCGAACATCATAGCGAGAGTCCCTAGAGGAGGGGTCTGGAACCTCCAGCCCAAAGCCCAACTCTAACCCACCCGGGGCCCTGCTCCAGCTTTTTGAGGCCCCCAACAGGGCCACTCCACCTTCCCCTAGCCCACCTTAACTGCCTCAACAAAGGAGGCTGGTGCAGACAATGCTGTTTAGACTGCAGACAAGTTGGTAGGCATGTGCTGGGACTGCTGAAGGTTCCTTTTAGAGCTACTGGTCAGCTGGACCTTCTGCTGACTGCCCTGGTTCCCCCAACGGTTGTCTTAGTGTCCCATGTGGCTTGCCTCTGTTCTCACCCAATGCAGGTAGTTGCTGCAGAATCAAAGCGGAACCTGATTCCTGCAAATGGGAGGGATCCAACTGCTGGTAAGGGACCTTGCACTCCTATGTGTCAACCTCGAACCCTTCCGCCCCCCCCGCTCCCCCGCTCTTGGCTGTATATGTTGGCTCCATGTTGTACCCATTGACCAGAACATCAGAGGGCTGGAGCGGGTTTTCTTTAACGATCCCTTCCCCATTTCAGAGCCAGTCAGTTCTGAGCCACTTTCCCAGCCCAGTGACCTTCAGATGTTTAGCACTACATGTTCCAGCACTCCTGGTCATTGGCCATGGTGACTGGGGCTGATGGCAGTTGAAGTCCTAAAAATCTGGAAGGGCAGGCTGAGAAGGGCCTGGGTCATGAAGCTCGCTTGCTAAAAACTAACCTGGCGTTGAAATGAGTCACAGTCTGTCACTTGTATGCAATAACAAGCCAAGAGTTGCAAAGTTGTCCTCCTGGCTGTGCAGGAAGGGAGAGAGTGTACAAACACACATCATGCTTAATCTTGTGCATGTGGCAGTAAACCAGTGGGGGGGACTGCATGCCCCTTCCAGAGAGTGTTGGATCGCAGTTCTCAGCAGATCTAGCCGGCATCTGCTGGCTTAATTTCAAGTCAAATTTTCTTGCTTTCATGCTCAATCTGCAGTTGTTAAATTGTATTGCTCTCCTGGTTTTGGCCCTTTCGCGTGACAAGCATACGGTTACATAAAGCCCTGTGGAAGCTGTGACTTACTGACAGTTTTACTCAGCCCTGTGGTTTGGTGCCTGAGATTTATTACGCTTCAGCCCTGAACTCAGGCGTGCATCTTTATAACTGCCATAAGGGCTAGCAACCGAGGCTTCTGTCTCCTTTTCCTTCAGAAAGCAGATTCGGCAACCAGTGCCCTCGCATTCTGCCATTCTTCCCAGCCTTTGCAGCCACGCAGCCTTTTGTCTTTTATCTCCTCCTAGCACTGAGTCTTTCCCTTGAGATCTTCGTGAAGGAGGTGCCCGTAATGCAGTGGCGCAGGTACATGCGGGCACTGGGCCTGACATCAAATGAGATTCACACCGTGGCAATGAGTGAAAGCCATGTAAATGAGCAGCATTTCCAGATGCTGCAGCTGTGGCTGGACAAGAACGGGAGGAAAGCCACCCTCGACGTGTTGCTGCAGGCACTGTGTGACATCGAACACCGGGGAGTGGAGGAGCGCGTGAGACGGATGCTCATCGACCAGGGCCTGTATGTCTGTGAAGAAGCGTGACTTCTCCTGCATGGCTGCTTGTGAAAGCTACAGTGTTGGTCTGCTGTGGTGTTATGTGGGGCAGACAGAGGGACAGGTATGTGGAGGAATGCTGGTTTATTCTTAAACCCACATACTGTTCGCTTTTAAACAAATCCTGTGAGTCCCACTAATTTTTTTTTTAATGGAAAATAACTTGAGGAGTCCAAAGACCACTGTGATACCTCCTCGGTTAGAAATGTGTACGACTTGCTACACCTTTCAGGACATAAGGGGAAGAAGTGTCCTCTGGTGGCTTTTCCTAGTGCCTGGATGTTGGCAGTCTCAGGGATACCAGTTACTTCACTTGGTTTGCAAGCTACATCATACTAGCTATATCTAGAGCTGCTTTAAAAAATGCCTTCCTCTTCTGAAGTAGCTGCTTGGTTAAAAATCCTGCCAAACAGAGCCATTTCAGTTGGTTGGTACTAGCAAAAAGAAGATTCTTGAGGCTGCTAAAATCTCTTCTGGCTGCAGCCCCTTTTTTTTCTTTTTAATCTTTTTCTTTTTAATCTTTTGTATAATAGTTTTGTATCATAGTTTGCCTTATATAAAATGATTCCCTGCAGCAGACTATAAAGTTATGGCCTATGAACTGCTGCTGTAGAAGTGTGAAAAATTATTTGGACAGTAAGAACAATCCTATAGCTTGAAGTTGGACTGGGATTTGCCTTTCTATGATCAGGTCTGTGCGTGGTTCTTTTTGGGGGGTGCAGAATGCTAATTTCTTTAGGAAAATTGCTTAGATTTGCAAAACTGCCTTATTCTGCATTGAAGTTTGCTATTCGCAGATAAGCTGCTGCCCGCTCAATTGCAGAATGTCATCGAACAACTCCGATTTCTGCTGAACAAGCCCGTTTCTGGTTCCTATGGCTGTGTGGGTTAAAACTTCATCTCACTTCTGTGTTGCAATTAAATGGAAGCTAAGCACTGAGGAATAGTACTTTGCACTGAAATACCTCCTGCCTGTTCTTCGCCATCCTTAGGAACCACAGCCTGTCCTCAGCCCTTCTTATACGCAAACTACCATTCTTTTTAGAACAGACTGTACTTTATGCACTTTGGAGGTACTCGGGAATTTTCTTTTGAAAAACAGCTGTGAAGAAATTGGACGGGTTTACCCATACTTGACCTGTGGTTTGTCTGCCAAACAGTTGCACAAAGCGCAGGTTGTTGTGTTCAGTCGCTGACTGTTGCACAGGCCTTTGTAGCACTGTACTACTGACATTTAGAGCAGCTGTGGTTTCGATCTGTCACATGTCCGCTACTGCTGCCTGGTGAAACAACCCATGGATCTGTGCGCATACAGTGACAACCCAGAGTTAAAACCGTCCAGTGTTCACATTCGAACAACAAACCACATGCTCTCTTCCTGGGTTGTTTGTGGCTTAAAAACCCATAATCCTGGGTCACATGTAACAACCCAAGATTTAACAACCATATTCTGGGTCCCCATAATATGGGGAGAGAAAGTTTCCTGCCTCCTATTTACCCCATAGCATTACTTAGCACTGATGTGTGGGATGGACAGATCTTGCACAAAAGTGTATGTAGCATTTTTGTCAAATACAATTAGATTTATTTATATTTTTTTAGTTTGTATAGAACTTGAATATGTGTGTCCATATGATCCATCATAGTAATGCAATGTTTAGTTTGGCTGCTTACCTGTACTTGAAGTTGTTCTAGTAGTCATCTATATGGTCAGGAACTCAAAACAGTACATCTGTGTAAGGGTTTCCTGTGGAACTTCCCTACACCTTAAGTCTGCAAAGTTTTGGCAGCAAGGAATGACCCGTCTCGAGTCCAGTGCCCACAGTGGCAAATTCAGTGTCTTTCTGGTCAGCGCTTCTTGAACATCAACAGTTACAGGATGAAGAACTTGCTCTTGGGGTTCTTCATGTACAAATGATCACAGCCAAAGGGGAAAGAATTAGAGGCTGTTGAGTTAAATAAGCTTTTAATTAATTTATCTGTAACAAAAATGTAATGGGTATGGAGAATGGGACTCAAGATTTAAATGCTAAGCATTTAAGAAACAACAAGAAGGCAAGGATACACTGTTTACAAGACAGGATGAAGAACTTGCTCTTGGGGTTCTTCATGTACAAATGATCACAGCCAAAGGGGAAAGAATTAGAGGCTGTTGAGTTAAATAAGCTTTTAATTAATTTATCTGTAACAAAAATGTAATGGGTATGGAGAATGGGACTCAAGATTTAAATGCTAAGCATTTAAGAAACAACAAGAAGGCAAGGATACACTGTTTACAAGACAGAACGAGGAACTCCTGTTACGTTCCCAAATTTTTGAGGAGTTCAGGTGTTTTGATTCATATCTATACTTCTTAATCTTTCCTTGCAGATACAGAATATTTGGTCTTGGCATCTCACACAATTTGTCTACTTCAGGTAGAAATGCCAAATGCTAGGGTTAAGATGGGGGAGAAAGCTGAAATCCAGTAAGGTACCTGGAGCAGATGGTTCTCTGCCCTTTTTATAAGTATTTCAGGGATTTAGTATCTTCTCATATGGTCAATCTATTTAATGATGTTTTTCATGAAGATCCTATTCCTTAGACTTGGAAGTATTATAAAATAGTAACTATTCCAAAACCCTTTGAAGATTTCACATTGGTTGAATCTTAAAGGCCATTTGCACTATTGAATGTGGATTACAAGATCTTTTACAGCTGTGATATGCATATACTTGTAACTCAGGCTGGTTTGTTCCTCACTGACAGATTATGGATTCCATCTGCAAACTGCTAAATGTTATACATAGCAGTGAAATTAATAACTCTTGGCAGTTTTTTTCTTAGTATATTTAAAGCTTCTGACTGTGTGGAATGGGTGTTTTTTATTGGTTTAATCCAGATTTGGCATGAAAAATTCATCTAATCAAACAAATGTATTCGGATAGTTGGGCCAAATGGAAAACAAATAATATGGATCCAAAGTATATTACTTTTTGGCCTGGAACAAAACAGGGCTGTCCTCTTTACCCTGCTTGCTTGCCCTGGTGGCAGAACCATTAGCAATCATACTTGGTTAGAACCCCAAATTCCAGGGCTGCAGGTGGTGGGGAAAGAGTATAAACCTCGGTTATATGCCAATGATACAACAATTACTAGCACTCAACCAGCTAGGAGGTTACAGAGTTTGAAATCAGAATTATTAAATTTCAGAAGCTGGCTGTGCCGCAAGGCAATTCCAGAAAATTAGAAGTATTATTTTTTAATGTACCTCCAAAGGAACACTCTGAAGTGGTAAAATGCTTAGAGATAACAGTCAGCTATTCTAAATGTCGATATTTAAGTGTATCGATCACCAAGAATTTGAGTAAGTTATACATTGTGGATTATAATGGGGTCTGGAAATTGATTTCAGAGGATGTACATAGATGGAAAAAATGACACAATTTATTATGGATCTGATAGCAGTGAAAACTATAGTTTTCCCTTATTCTTTTTATTTAGAACATTGCCATTTATAATTTCAATGGCAGGGTTGACAACCATATGTTCATATTTAATGGTAAACCACAAGTGAAGAAAATGTTGGTATATAAGTCGACAATTTTGGGAGGATGAAGTATTCATAATCTCTTACTTTATTATGAGGCCTGTCAATTGCAGCGTTTGATTTCTTTTGTCTCAGAAAGTCCCAACAGATAATGGGTGTCTCTAGAGAAAGTTACAATGGATGGAGTCTCTCTGACAGTTGCTAAATTTAAATCTCAATATTGGACTGTGAAGAGGTTCATATGCTCTGTGTTTGAAATTTGGGTCAGGAAGTCTACAGTCCTTGACTGGGGAGTAAACCTACCTTATCTAATACCAGAGAAACATCTCTGAAGATAATAGATGGTTGGTATCCGACCCTTGAAAATTGGCATTTATTAAGTCTGGTTCCTTCCCTGTGTGCTGGGGTGGATGCCAAGTGATTGGCATCTCCCAGCACATGTGGTGGGAATGTGATGAGATTCATAAATTCTGGGCTGCAGTTTATTTATTTATTAATCTATTATGTGGGATATTTCTAACTCGTCCAATCACTCTGTGTCTCTGGACAGCTTACAAACAAATTCAATAAATACAACAATATAAAAGATCATAAATACCCCAAACAATAATAAAACTAATAAACCCACAACTGAAGTAAAACAGAATTAAAATCTTTTAAAGATTAAAATATTGGGTGAATAAAGAGGTCTTGACCTGGCGCCAAAAAACATAGGACAGCGCCAGCCCGATTACTCTGATTCTAAAAGTAGATGTACCTATTGATTCTGAACTGGCCCTGTTGAATGTATTTGTTGAAAAGAATATAAATATGAAACAAGGAATGTAAAAGATAAATTTCACATCTTTTATGAATTGCTAGGAAAGTAATGTCAGAGTTTAAAATTTATGGATTTGAATGAATGATATAATTTGGTATGGAGGGCTGCATAATGGAAAAATGATTAGGACAGGTTATGAGGCCAATGAATGCTGCTTTTGAGACTGTGTGGTTACCATTTATTGAATACACTTACATAATCAAATGTGAGACCTATCTGGAAGTCTAATTTGCTAGTTTCCCAGAAATTACAGGCAGGCATAAGGAATTAGTTAATCTTTCTGTCAAGCTTCACATGCATTGCATTTGATGGATAGGACTCTTATTTATGGCATTTAATGTATATGTCTGTGTATGTTTTATTTCGTGAATTACTTGTGATAATAAAGCTCTTTTGGTTATATATACAATAAAATGTATAACCATTCGTCAGAGCTAGGCTGCCACTAGCAAACTATGCTTGTGAGTAGCGATTCTCTGCAGAAACAAGTCTCATTCCTCTTGGATTTGTTTTTCTGTATCCGCCATGCCTTTTGGAGGTGCTAACTTTTTACAGCAGGGTTGGAAAGCCTGTGACCCTCCAGCTGTTGACTTCCCACATCCCATCCTGCAATGATGGGAGTTGTAGTTCTCTACAAAGAGGTGCAATAGGTGAAAAGGCAGTTGTGCAAAATGCAGCACTCCTCATTCCTATACAAAAGAAGGGGAAAAGATGAGCTGAACTGTCAAAATGTATAAGCCGCCATCCAGTCAAAGGATGCTTGACCAAACAATAGGCTGCAGTTATGTCGTATTCACTGTCCTAAGATTGCTGAGAAAAGGAAATGACTGATAAGCCAACAGAAAGTAAAAAGCACGTTTGGCCTTGATGCTTTTCCCAAGTTGCCCATGGTAATAGCCCACAATTCTGTGAATTGTGAGGCTGTTAACGGTGCATAAGGTTATGAAGGTGAGAGCTGTGAGCACCACTCCAACAAACCGCATCACTTGGTTCGCGATTCGTCCACCCCTTTGTTATGCACTGTTTGCAAGCTTTCAGCTCATCTAAAGCAGAGTAGGCTCAGGGTGGGAATGGTCATCCAAAAGCTGTTATACCAGTGCTTTGACAGCAAAAGCAGATCTGTCGTGCAGGTATATTGTGGGTGCGGACGAGGGAGCGCCCACCTCAAAGCCTCGGCACACAAGGCCATGGGGGCCCAAAGGGAACAGTTGCATTAAGGAAGAGTTCACTTGTGGGGGATGCCAGGCTACATGGCGAAAGCAGGAATGTCGAGTACAGAAATTCTGCTTTTGTGGGAACCACTCAGCCAACTGACCAGCAAGAATCTGCATGCAATAAGTGGCACAGGGTTCCTTGCCATGATGTGTGAATCCAGCCACTAACGGGCAGTGACTCTCCAGGGCTTTGGGCAGGAGCTTTTGCTTTCCTGCCTGGAAATAGTTCATAATCGTATCTTGGATTTAAGAATGCAGTATGCGTGTTTGACCATTGAATTAACACCCTTCCCAAGCCACCTGGGAAAACTGCATGGAAGGAAGACAGGATCTAAAACATCTAATAGGTTACATCTTTTTAAAGTTGCCTTTGGAGTTATAGGTGACTCTTCTGGTTCACCTGATCCGTTGGGGAATGTTAGATCCTATACTGGGCAGCAAAGTGCAGCTTTCACCCAGTCTCTGCACACAAGTGGACCACAGTCAGCAGCACTGAGGCCTACGAGGAGAACTATTCAGCCAGTTGTGTGGCTCTCCGTTGACGTTGCTGCCCACCCCTTCCAAATTAAAGCCAGGACCACAGCAATCTTTTTTAAAATACCATTTTTATAACAGAACCTTCCACACTTAAAATCCAAGTTGTTGTGTATTGGTTTGTTTTATTAAAAACAAGTTTCTTGGTCGGTCTTGGGTGCCAGGATGAACCGGACACTCTACTCATTCCTCTGAACGTGTTGTTCTGATTGTGTCGCAAGCTATTGACAAATCAAGTCTTAAAAGAGAAACAAAAGCATCTTGCCAGCCTTGGAGCGCTGGTTTGTCTGTCTGAGGGCCCTTTCCTGTGGAACTTCAGTACCAGTCCAGGATCTGAGCTTCAGTTGGCCTGCTCCTCCTTCACAGGGGCCTGCCTTTCGTGAGGAGGGTTTGCAGCCGTTTGCTGTTGCCAGGATGCGTGCCCTGCTGTAAAGCAAACTTCCTAGAGATGCGAGCCAAGGTGGAAAGTGCAACAAAACCGTGGCCACCTTGCCATCAAAAGGAGCCAAGCAGGGGGGTGGGGGGAGTCCTGGGGCTTATAGCATGTACAGCGGCTTGAAATGTGATGGTGCAGAGAACCAGACAATGTGAGGCATCTCATTGCCTTCTTTTTTGCTTTTTGCAAAGGGGAAAAAAAAACCTCATTTAAAAAGTGTGCAGAACTGCTGCATTTTCCTTGTAGCGGATTTGGTTGGTGTGTTTCTTTTTTTTCCAAAAATAAAAAACCTCTTGCATTCCTGTAAACGTGAGGTTTGTCCTGCTGGATGCGCAAGCCCCTGGCAAGGAAATTGCCTGGCTTGACATGCCATCTGGGTGCCCTTGGGCAGTGGTGCATGGGCACGGGCTGAGGCCGGGGCAGGATCGGGCCCATCAGAGCTCCAGATGAGATGTAAATGCTCCCGCTCTGGATCTCCACCTGTCCAGACTCACCAGCCTCCCCAGGATATTCATGCTCATTTTCTCCACGGGGGGTTTGAGCTGGTGGTGTCTCCTCTCTACCTACTTCCCTCTTCCCAAGCCTGTCGAACCAGAAGCTGGCTCGGGGGTGGTCGGCACCCTCTTTCCAAGACAGACTGGAGTATGGGCAGGCACACCTCTCAAACCACAGCGGAGGAGGAGGAGGAGGAGGAAGATGAAGCAGTGGCCACTGATGAGGAAGGTGACTGAGAAGGAGAAGAGGCATTCCAGAAGAGCCACCTCCTCTTCGGCTGCCGTTTCTGGTGGAGGTAGTCTTCTTTCTCGCGCTCTTTCCGTGCTCTCTGATAGTGATCCTCCTCCTTTAGGTACCAGACTGGGGGCCAGCGATGCTTCTCAAAGTAGTCTTGGTTCTCTACAGTGATGGGAAACAGGGAAATTAAAACACGAGCCCCTGAGCTTCTAGAACTGCATTTTATAGAAGATACGTAGCACTTAAATATTTTATACCATCTTGAAAAGAAAAACAAAAACCTTAGTACACTAAAATAAGAGATTTTTTTTCTACACTGGAAAACAACTGAGAGAATTGTTTTATTATTGTTCTACTGAATATTGTTATTAGTTATATTTTCTCCTGTTTCCTATTTATATGGTTGCATTATATTGTATTTTACTCTGTTTTATGGTTGGTTGGTTGTTTACTTCTGCCTGTATTTTATATATACTTATATTGCACTGTGAGCCACCCAGACAGCCTTCGGTTATGGGTTAGCATACAAATGCAGTAAAAGAAGAAAAAGCTTCCCCTGAGACTTTTGCTGGACTAGAGTTTGGCTCTCAAGGGGTTTGGTCTCCCCCACACCCCATCCCTAGGGTAGAAGAAAAGGTGACTGGCCTTTAGTGTGCTTTCTACAGAAAGTGGCCACGCATTTTCAGGGTTTTTTCTTTTTGGGTTTTTTTGGCACAGGGTCTACTTAAAAGGACTAGGATCCATTGGTTTTAAGGACAAATGGTTATTCTAAGGATGTTGGAAAACTCAGCAGTGGCCACAGGACTGGAAAAGTTCAGTTTACATTCCGATCCCAAAGAAGGGCAATGCCAAAGAATGTTCAAACTACCGCACCATTGCACGCATTTCACATGCTAGCAAAGTGATGCTCAAAATCCTACAAGCTAGGCTCCAGCAGTATGTGGACCGAGAACTACTAGAAGTACAGGCAGGATTTCGAAGAGGGAGAGGAACTAGAGATCAAATTGCCAACATACGCTGGATCATGGAGAAAGCTAGGGAGTTCCAGAAAAACATCTACTTCTGCTTCATTGACTATGCTAAAGCTTTTGATTGTGTGGATCACAACAAATTGTGGCAAGTTCTTGAAGAGATGGGAGTACCAGACCATCTTATTTGTCTCTTGAGAAACCTATATGCGGGTCAAGAAGCAACAGGGAGAACTGGACATGGAACCAATGATTGGTTCAAAAACTGGAAAAGGAGTTCGGCAAGGCTGTATACTGTCGTCCTGCATATTTAACTTCTACACAGAGCACATGAGAAAGGCGGGGCTAGATGAATCACAAGCTGGAATTAAGAGAAACATCAACCACCTCAGATATCAGATATGCAGATGATACTACTCTAATGGCAGAAAGTAAAGAGGAACTAAAGAGCCTCTTGATGTGGGTGAAGGAGGAGAGCGCAAAAGTTGGCTTGAAACTCAACATGAAACTAAGATCATGGCATCCGGTCCTCTCACTTCCTGGCAAATAGATGGGGAAGAAATGAAGGTAGTGACAGATTTTATTTTCCTGGGCTCCAAGATCACCGCAGACGGGGACTGCAGCCAAGAAATTAAAAGACACTTGCGCCTGGGGAGGAAAGCTATGGCAAATCTAGACAGCATGCTAAGAAGCAGAGACATCACCCTGTCAACAAAAGTGTGTATGGTCAAAGATATGGTTTTACCAGTTGCAATGTATGGCTGTGAAAGTTGGACCATAAGGAAGGCTGAGTGCCGAAGGATTAAGGCCTTTGAATTGTGGTGCTGGAGGAGACTCCTGCGAGTCCCTTGAACCGCAAGGCGATCAAACCAGTCAATCTTAGAGGAGATCAGCCCTGACTGTTCTTTAGAAGGCCAGACGCTGAAGATGAAACTCAAATACTTTGGCCACCTAATGAGAAGGAAGGACCCACTGGAGAAGAGCCTAATGCTGGGAACAATTGATGGCAAAAGAAGAAGGGGCAGCACAGGATGAGGTGGCTGGATGGAGTCACTGAAGCAGTTGGTGTGAGCTTGAGTGGACTCTGGGGGATGATGGAGGACAGGAAGGCCTGGAGGAATGTTGTCCATGGGGTCGCGATGGGTCGGACACGACTTCGCGACAACAACAACAAGGATGTTGGACAAGGGCTACAGAGAGCTGTAATCAAGGGCAGAGATAGCGAGAAGACTTCAGCTTTTCTTTATTATTAGCTAAATGCATTTAGTTTCATGGGGGTTGGAATAATAGCTCTTAGTTGGATGCTGTGAAACCTGCACAGCAACGTAAATGGCTGTGGAAGCCCCAGCCAAGTAATAGCAGGGCTGCAGGTACACCCAGCACAGCCCCTTCCACAGTCCACTCCACCCCCCACCCCACAGGAATGTGCTCACTCTATTACTCCTACCCCACAGGAGAGGGGAGGGAACAGCTGTACAACAGACCCCTGCGGTGCATTCCACCCCATCACTTGGCTTCAAACAGTATTAACCACAAAGCGCTCTGTGGGTTAAAGTCTGCCGCCTAGCGATGTTACTTCAACCCCACCAACATATTTGCATTAACTAAGCTTGATGTGGGCCGGGAGCTTCGTCTGTCTGCCGAGCGTCACGTGCCCAGGCTTCGTGGTTTTGGCACTGCAGCACTGACGGACACGCATCCCCTTCTTTATGTACAGAAGATCTGTGCCCTGCTGCTCCTGCCCAGGGACACTCCGAAGTGATATAAATGGTGCTGACCTGCTGACATGGCTTTCATCTCACGCGGGAACTTGCGGCAAATGTTGTTGTAGTTGGTGCAGATGTGATGGAGGCACCAGTCGGCCAGCTGGTAGGCACCATGGAACTGGAAGGGGAAGAAAGAGACAGAGCCCCGTGATTCCCAGCACAGAACCAACTCGCCCTGCACGTCCAAGGACCCCTCAAGGCCCCGAAGCCGCCGGGGAGGTGAGCATGGGCCAAAGGGACAAGGGAAGGTGCTTGCATGAGATGGCATTTATAGAGGAAGCTCTCAGTGGCTACTAGCCTTGCTGGCCAAGTGCCGCCTTCGTTACCAGAGGCGGCTGCCTCCATGCAACGCTTGCTGAGGAACTTGGGCAGGGGGAGGCCTTGCACCCAGGCTGCTCAAGGGGCCCTGCGGCAGCTGGTTGGCCTCTGCGCGCACACAGAGTGCTGGGCTGGATGGACCTCTGGTCCGATTCAACATGGCTTCTGTTCTTGTGACACAGGAACCAGCTGAAGGTCCACCTAGCTAGCGCACATTTCTGCCTCTGAGCGTGGGCAGCCGTGCCATTTGCCGTACAAGGAGGATGACCACTCCTGTTCGGTCTGGAGACGTTCCCAGGCATCTTCAGTAGAAAAGGTCCTGGGGCAGCACCCGACCCGATACCAGACGCTGCCAGACCAGATAGAATACAGTGGGCTGGAATGACGAAGTGGGACGCGGCTTGCTTTGTTGCCCGTTGTTTTCCCTAGCAACTATGAATTGAAGTTGTATGACAGGCTTTGAACACAGCAGTTCCATAAAGCTGAGGCACCACATTTCACCTGCATCTGTCCTTAAATCAAAAGTTGGAATCCCGAATGAATATGGATGACCTCTAAGCCCGCCGTAATACCACTATTAGTGCAAGAACTGCATGCTGGCTGTGAATGATGGGAGCGCCCGTTCGACGCCTCTGGAGGGCAGCCCTAGAGGATGCCCCCATATCAAACTAGACTGTAATAATCTGTATATAATGAACTGTAGAGTCAGAAAATGATCATGCACAGGAATGAAAAAGGGAGGGTTTAGCTTAGGAAGAGAGCAAGTACGGAGAGAATGGCGGAAGTGCAAAAACTGAAGCAGGCCATAAAGAAAGTGGATAAGGAGGCATCCTCCTCGCTGTCTCAAATACAGGACAGGAAAACTGACTGTGCAGGGGCAGATTCAGGATGGATGAACTGCTCCCAGTGAAATTCTAATTCACTTCCGTGGAGTATTACAATGACCACCGATTTGGATGGCTTTAAAAACAGGTGGGACACATGGAGGAGAGGCCACAAATGACTGCTGGACCCCAAGGCTGTGTGCTGCCTCCACGAGCAAAGGCAGCGTGCCAATGTGCACCAGGGGCTGGGGAACATGAACAGGAATACTGCATTCCACAGTGGGCCAGTTCACATGATTCCCGAGTGTTAAACAAGCCACTGCGGCTTGTTCCGTCCTCAGCATGTATGGGACTGGTTGTCTTATCCGATCCTGGCCAGTGTAGCTCATTGGAGGGGGAAACAACCCTCTGATAACCCTAGAACAGGCCATGGGTTATTGGAGAGTTGTCTCCCTCTTCAGCCTGGGTTTAGACTACACAATAGACCACAGTCAGGCAGGTAATCAGGCAAACTGTCCCACACATGCTAAGGATTAAACTTGGCTTGTTTAATTGCATGAACCTGGTCTGTGTGCCCAGAATGCTGGACTTGGTTGCAGCTTTTATTGCCATTCCTTTTCCTATGGAAGTCCTAGTAAAGGAAAGCCACACATGAATATGCAGAGGGAAGATCTCCCCCACTGAATGACCCTATTATAAAGTAGAAACGTAAGAAAGCATCTTAAGGGGGCGGCCCTAGGCTCCTGAGAGGGCTGCCATCAGAGGCATTCGCTCTGTCAGAGAACAGAGCTGGAAATTCAGTCATTCAAGGCACTGGAAGTAGAGGTAGGAGCAATGCCCCCTGCATTTCCCTCGGCCAGCAAACACCTCCTCCAGCACAGACTTCCCAGCACTGCTGCCTTAGGATCTCTCTGGCAGCCCACACGTTACAGGGAACTCTCTCTCCAAAGAAAACTCTGATGCGATTTACTCAAAGAAGCAGGTGTCAAAGGAACCGTGTGCAGTGCAGAATTCCCCGAGACTGAGCCGTTTTTTTACCTGAGCCAGCTCCAGGAACACGAGGACGTCCCCATCAATATCCACAAACATCTGAATCGCCTCCATCAGACCAGACACCGTGAACTGCTCTGTGTAAAAATAACATGACTATTGATATTTTAGACACACGTGGAGAGAGAGGTTAGAGACTGTCGGTGTGACTGTCTTGCTAAGAGGGTCGATAAAACTCAGCGTTTCTGTTCTCTGATTGGGTAAGAAATCAGAAAGGAAAAAAGGCTGGCTGCTTCTGCTTCTAAGGTACATCTGAAAGTGGATGTGGGCCTGGTCCTCCCACAAAGCCCCTGCCCCACTGCACAAAGTAAGGCCAGGCCCACACGCGGAAGATTCAAGGGGCAGTCAATGGCAAGATTCTGGTCAGCTGGGAAATGCAGAGGGAAATGCAAGAGGCAGCAAGCGGACCCCCAGAAACCACTGCCCCTTGAACTTTTCAAAAATTACCCACAACAAGGTGCCTGGAGTACTTGGGAGCACCAAGATGGTCTGAAGGCTAGATTTGCCCATCTTCAGGCTCCACTGGGGCTACAAAGCTCTAAATAGCTAAATTTGCCATGTCGGGGGCTCCATGGTGTTTGGTATGCCATTTCTTTCATTTAAGAATGTAATCTTTAATTGATTTTTCAGAGACTCTGGTCCGTGAGAGAGGGCTGGGTGAAAAAGCGTCCCTGGTTTGCTTTACATGACTGCAAGCAGAACAAGCAAGCCTATCGAGAAACGTTCTCACCCAGCCCACCACCTCTTCTGCACACACTGCCGCCCCTTGCAGTGAATCCCTTTGCACATCTGCTTCCTAAAGTTGAGTCCGTCCGTCGTCCCCCTCCTGCAGCAAGCACACGCAAGGCCTGGGCGTTCAGAAGAGCAACTTAGGTGCATCATCTGCTGGCAAGACCACAACAGCCATCACGGCTGCGGGAGCAAAACAAACCGGCCAGCCAAAAGCTTGCCCCTCATTTATGTAATCATTTTATTACTCTATTCCCATCCTCAAAGGAGCCCCAAGCAGTGTACAGGATCCAGCTGCTTTCTGTCATATCCCAGCGACAACCTTATCAGGTAACTCAATAATCCCCATCATGAAGTAAGCTCCGTGACCAAGTAGGGATTTGAACCTGTATCTCCTAAGGCCCAGTCTAACAACTCTAATCATTATACAATGCTAACCGTCTTTACATAAGCAAGTTTAAAAACGATAGTTTGGGCAAAACATGGTCTCTTGCCCCATACCTGCTATCTCAGGAAGGTTCCCTAGATCCTACACTAAAGCTCAAAGCATGGCCCCTTCCCAAGTTTGTATTGCTCCAGAAGGGCAGCAGAAGCATCGGAACACAGTAATTTCTGCCTAAAAGCCAGGAAATATAATGGTTCTCTTCTTGACTCAGACTGCAAAGATGTTTTAGCTGCTCACACCAGTGTCTGCAGCTTCCTGAAATTACCTGTGAGTGCAACCAGATGTGGCAAGCACAAGCGGTTAGCTAGAATAATGAGCTTCATGTAATCCAGCTCTGATGTGGAGCAAAACTGGCCCGTGTAGAGGTATTCAAGTACCGCTCGCATACAGCTCTTGCTGGTGTAAGGTAACACCACCTGTGAAAGTCAGGACAGGAAGACAGTAAGAGTTAATTCTGCAGCCTGCTCAAGACAGGGTAATATTTAATGCCAATTATATAGCAATGCTTTCTATAAATCCACTATTATTCTACCCAGTGGTAACATAGCTGCTATTCTTTTTACGGATTCCCTGCAAGAATTATTTATCAGAACCCAGAGCTGCAGCAGGTCCCAAGCCCAGAAGAGTTAGGCATGGGTAAGCCAGTGCCTCCCTCTCACAGATGGAACTATGGAGTCGAATACGAAAGCCTCCCTAAAAATATATGTTAAAGGGGCATCACGGGATGTTGCCCAAGTCCTACAAAGACATTCAGGCCAATTCCCATCTTCTGCACAACTATGAAAGGTGCAGGAAACCAACCTCTTTTGAAATCGGCCACCATGCTGCCTCTCCAAAAGAGGTGAATAACATGATTCTCCAGGTGTTTGGGGCGACAATTCCCCTTAGTCCTAGTCCTCACCATTATGTACCATGTTGCTTTGCAGCTGGGACACCAGCAGTGTTTGTGAGCAGCCCTGCCCCATCTTTCAAAATACCTATTTGGATGCTTATTTTCTGTGCACATTCCTGGCCCCCATAAGGGTCACACTTGCCAATGCACACGATGTGTTAATAAAGAGGATCCCATCCTCTTAAAGAGGAATCCCATCACTGATGCAGTTACACTAATGCAGCCCACAAATGTTTCAGAGGAGCAAAAAGCTTTCCAACATGTGGAATTACTGAGTTTGGTGCTCAAGACGGAATGCATGTCCTGAACTCCACACTGTACTCGTTAGAATGGGGTGCTGTTCACAGTATTCAGACCTTGTGCAGCTCCTGCACAAAAGGACTTCCGGCACAGGCTGTCCATGGGCCAGACTGCACCAGTTTGCACTCTGCTGTCCTTCATGACACCCCAAATCCATTGCCTTTGAGTACAACCAACCCCTCTATGTTTAAAGCCCACTCCCATTTCCAGCATTCCAGTTACGGGAGAAAATGCAGGGGTGCCCTTGCTAAAGCCAGAAGCCCTCCCACTCTGACTCCTTCCAATTTTAACCACATCACCTCTTCCACAGCCTTCCAAAAATAGTCTCTACGGTGGCTGCAACAAAAGGCAAGGCAATTTACATGCAACCTCCATTCCAAATGCTATTACTGTATAGGGTGCACTGGATCTTTCATCTCCAAACTGCTTTGCGCTGCAGTTTGTGCTAAAATCCTTCCCTACCTCAGCCTTCTGTGTCCTTCCCTTGGGACGCTGGATGGTAAAAGGTACCGTGCAAAAGCGAAATGTTCCCTCCCTCTCATGCTGCAGCTCTGCCCCCACCTTCCTGGGGAGCTCCGCTCAGCAGCTGAAAGCAGCTCAGGCAGCTGAAGCAAGGAAGGCAAAACTGGGCCCCGTCGTCAGAGATGCGAGCGATGCTGGAAGAGAAACAGTGGACGGCGCCTCACCTCTTGGGTTGAGCTCTCCACAAATGGACCCCCAAACATAGCAGCCATCCAGTCACAACTGGAGATAAGCAAGGGCTTATGGGCACTGATAGCACCATCGTCCAATATAAAAGTAACATCTGCAAGCAAGGAAAAGACATGCGGTCATGAGGAAGTGTGCACGGACCGTGCTGTACTTTCACCAAGGTAACAGATTCCCTTATATTAAGCCAGTACACCAATTGATCTAGCTCACCATGAATCGCATGGACCTGCAGCAGCTCTGAGGTCTCAGGCAAAGATCTTTCCCAGACGTACCTGGAGATGCTGCACATTGAACCGGGGAAGGCAAGCCCAGACAATCTAATACACCTTTGCCTATAGGTTACCCATTCAAACCCTAATGTCGCTTAGGATGCAAGGACAACTCGGAGTCCAAAGGCCAGTAACATCTTATGGTATTCAGTGGGGCTTACTCCCAGGGAAGGGGGCATAGGACTGAAACAAGGGGCAAGCTCCTCCATGCAACAATGCCTGGCTTGAGTAAACCTATATAGGATTGTCTAGCAAACTCTCCTGTATATCCAACTTAGCGAAGTCTCAAGTTGCAAAAAAAAAAAAAAAGGCAATTCAGGCATCTGAGAACATTCTGCTAATTGGAATGGGTGAGGCATGAATTCACGATAAAGTCTTTTAAGTCCAGAATGATCAAAACAGGTGGGAAAGAAGGGCACTGTCCGTTGTGTCTAAATTTACCCGGCTCGGGGGATGGGGGGTTGGCAGGAACTATATAACTGCGTTTTGGGATTGTTTTAGTGACTGTTGCCATGAATAACAGTCCAGAACTACCAGGACAGGTATAAGCAGCAGAGGTGGAGAAATGGTGGGAAACTGGACTCTACGACAGAATGTTCTGGACAGCAAGAGTTGGCTGGTGCCAAATTCACATCAAGTTCGCTCAAGTTCACATCGAGAAACCTTGACTCATGGGACAGATTCCCAGTGGCACATGGCCTCCATGCTCCCCTAGAAGAGGCACAGGTGGGCTACACCCTTAACAGGGTCATGTGGTGCAGCACACCATTTTAGCCTGCCTGTATGTGAGAGCCAGTGCGAGGTAGTGGTTAAGCGCATGGGACCAGGACTCAGGCAATCTGGGTTCTAGTCTCTGCTCAGCCATGGGGCCAACTGCATAACTGTGGGCCTGTCACACTCTCACCCCAGCCTACCTCACAGGGTTGTTGTGGGGATAAGACTGAGCGGAGGAGGAGGAGAAATGTGTAAGCTGCTTTGACTCTGCTGTAAGAAAAAAAGTGGAAACAAATCTAAGAAGGAGGGAGGGAGGGAGGGAGGGAGGGAGGGAGGGAGGGAAAGAAAAGAAAAGAAAAAAGAAAAGAAAAGAAGAGAAGAGAAGAGAAGAGAAGAGAAGAGAAAAGAAAAGAAAAGAAAAGAAAAGAAAAGAAAGAAAGAAAAAGAGAAAGAAAGAAAAAGAATTGTGCCTGACCAAATGCTCCCCTATCTTAAAAAACAAGTCCATCTATTCTCTCCTTGGCTAAAGGGGAAAAAAAAGTCCAGCCTGGTCAATTCCCCAGTTTGGGGTTGTTATTTTGTTTTTGAAAGCAGGATAGAAGCAGAAAGGGAAGCATCCAGCAAGTGAACATAACAGGAAGACAGAACACTGTCTGTTTTCTGATGTGCTATTTACAAAACGGAGAAAGTATATTTACATAGAAGAATATTTAAATAAAACACGCATAGACGCTTGTCTTTGCACCATCTTAATAACTATTACCTCATTCTGCCAAATGGGTTTAACTCTAGAAGAGGGTGAGTGGGGGGCAGGTAGGACAACCATGCCCAAAATTAGGCATCATGTGGAGAAAATGGCTGGGGGGATACTTTTCTCATAGTCCTGTAATACTAGAACCTGCAGTCCTCCTATGAAGCCAACTGGTGGGAGATTTAGGACACGTACAAGGAGCGAATTCATCACACGCCGCACAGGTAAACTGTGGAATTCACTACCAAAGGATGCAGTGCAGGCCACAAAGGGGGAAGCTTTAAAAGGGACTGGCTAAATCTGTGGAAGATCGGAATGGCTACTTGTCAGGATGGTTGTGTGTGACCGCCACTGTACGTCTCAGTTTTACTAACAGAAGAGCCGGTCCTGCCCGTGGGCTTCTCACTGATAGCCTACTGGCTGCTGTGGGAGCAAAAGGTAGACTAGAGAGGCCCCTCTGGACTGCAAAGAGATCAAACCAGTCAATCCTAAAGGAAATCACCCCTGACTGCTCTTTAGAAGATCCGATAGTGAAGATGAAACTCAAGTGCTTTGGCCACCTAATGAGAAGGAAGGACTCCCTGGAGGAGACCCTGACGCTGGGGACGACTGACAGCAAAAGGAGAAGGGGATGGCAGAGGTTGAGGTGGCTGGATGGGGTCCCTGGGGAGGCAGGTTTGGGGTTGAGTGGACGCTGGGGCATGGTGGAGGACAGGAGAGCCTGGGGGAATGTTGTCCATGGGGCCGTGACGGGTCGGGCACGACTCTGCAACTAAACCAAGAGATGCTCCTGGTGTGATGCAGCTTGGCTCGGCTGGTGCGACGTAGCCCTGAGTTGGCCCCAGGAAGTCTTCCTAGGAAATGCTCAGGGGGAGACAAATGACCCCCAAAGCCTTCTACTTAAGCTTATCTTCTGAACGGACTGACACATCCCCTAATCCAGAAAAGGAGTGGCAGCAGCCCAAATACCAGAGCCCTGCTGCACTACGGCATACCAGAAAACGTTCCCTTGGCCAGACACTCCTTAACCCGGTTGGTTCTCCTGACATGGAAGGCTTTGGTGATCTCCTGGTTCATGAATGCTTCGTTGTTCAAGATGTTGGCCACCATCATCCTGAGGTCAAAGACTTCTAGCAACTCGGCGATGTGGGCTATATGCATGAGGTCCCGCTCATTCTCATCCAGCTCCCCAGTGTACAGGTACTTGAGCACAGCCCTGAAGGGGCCCAGTTGGATGGAAGGGTCCATCTTCACTACCACCATCAGTCGGGGTTTGTATGTGACGGGGTCATCCGCCATCTCCTCCTGGATGCTGACAAAGGCACGGCTCCAAGAGGAGAGGATCCTCCGCCGCTTCAGCCCTCGTTCCCCGTAGTTCTTGCCCCGCAAGATTCCATCGCTGGTGGAGGGTCTAAGGCACGGTTTTTGCTGGCCAGAGCCAGCTTCCTCAGCACTCTCGCAGATATCGAAGCTGGCAGCTCTTAACAGGAATTCCCGCCCGTGAGGATGCCTTTCCTGATGGAGCGTCCGCTCAGCAACACCCACCCCGGTGCTGCTTCCTGTCGTCCCCTGCTGGTCCTCCTCGCTCAAGTCCATCAAGAACAAGTCATAGAACTTAGAGGAGGAGGTGGAGAGGTAGATCTTGTGCGCATAGATTTTGATTCTCTCTTGGAGCACCAGGATGACGTCTGCACACAAAGGGTCTTCCAGGAGGTGGGCTGGGCGCTCTTCATTGTTGGAAAGAGGTTCGGGGACTATGATGATGGGTGGGGGGGGCTTGGGGGGCAAAAAGGGGGCCTGCAGCAATGGCCTCTGAACGTTACGCAGATGCGACTTCCAGAACTGGAGGTGCCGGCGAGAGATGAGAGCTGCTCGGATGGCATTGTCGAAGACATCTTTGATGCCAAACTGGGCCACGACACTGGTTTCGTAGTAGGGGATCCCCAGCTCTTTGGCCACCTCTCGGCCCTTCTCTGGGGGCAGAATTTCATTGGGTTTGATTGGTCTGGAAAAAAAGAGGAAGAAAACAGTTTGGTGTGCAATCAAAATGGCAGATGGGAAGTGACCTCTCCAGTTGTCTTTTCTAGTCTAAGTAACTACAAAAATGGCAATTCATAAAGAGAAAACGATGAGGGTCACTGAGCTATGGAAAACCATCAGCCAAACCTGTGCATGCCTTTGTTTTCACTGACCTTGTAATCTATGCTTGCTATTCGTCTAATTTCTACCTCTCCTTCTGCTTAGAATATGTTCCATGTTCTTAGGTTAGGGGAGATGCCAAGCTGGATCTGAGAGCTAAACTAGAAGCAGTGTGAACAATGTTTTTAAAATGGGTATGGAGCTATGTCAGACAGTTTGCGGCTGACATAAATCTGGAGACAGAGCAAGTTCACGGGACAAGCCATGGTGGTTTCTAGCGCAGGGTGGTGCGTTCTGGTATGTCAGCATGGTGCATTTTGAAAACCATGATGAAACCACAAAGTGCCATGCTCCATGCTGCAAGAGGGCATCTGTAATCTAAGCCAGGTAAGGGAAATCTTAGGCGAGCCAAATTCAGCTCATCTGGGGGTTCCATTCTGACTGTCCAGAGTTTCTGCAGAAGATCATGCCTCTTTCTTCTAACTTCATCTGCTTTCCCACAGATCATTTGTTAGTTTTGCCACTTTCCCCACTTTTCCCCTTCTAAAACATTGCAAAGCCCCTCCTAAAGCATATTTGCTGGAAGTAAGTGCTTTAAGCGCCAACCTGCTGGCATTTTGCCCCCCCCCCCACCGCCCCACTTTGTGCTTCTGGCCTCGCCCACCCCTGGAATGTGGGCCTTCAAGAGCTTCTCCAAAATAAATGTTGACCCTCAGCTGAAAAGAGGTTCAAGAACTCTATTATGCCACCTCATCTCCTGCAAGACAGAGGTTGAGACAAGTGAAAAGGGCTTCATCACATTCTCTACCATATTGGTAGACAGCAAAATAGCGGTAAAAGTTGTGCTGCAAATTTTGATGAATATTCTCTGAAAGGGGAGGTAGTATTCTTGCCGACAGTAAGAACATTAATGCAAAGCTTGCATTGTTGACCCTATCCCCACCTTTTGGACCTTGCCTACCCAGCCACGCCTTGGAGCTTTTCCGAAAGTGGTTCCCCTCCCTGATCGAGCTTCTCCCACCCACTCAAGTCCTCCTCGCACCCTTTCCTTACCTGGCTAAGGGTCGCCTGGCTCGATTGACTGCTTCCAGGTCTGCGTAGCGAAGGTCGAGTTGGCAGCCCACAAGGATGACTGGTGCTCGGGGACAGAAGTGCTTAATCTCAGGATACCACATGGTCTTCACGTGATGCAGGGAATTAGGGTTAGCAATGGAGAAGCATAACACTACGACATCAGATCTGCAGGCAAAAAAAGGAAAAAGGAGCAATCAATCCAGCGCTCAGCCAGTTCTTCGCCAAAGTGGAGAAGAAAATTCAAGACGGCCTTTGAGTGTATTTATTCCTTCTGTTGCTCATCCTGGTGCTAGGTCAGCTTTATTACGATGAATAGCGGCATTTCCATTGTTAGGTACATGACAGAAGAGCTAGTGCTGCACAGCGGTTAGAAGGCTGGGCCGAGGTTGCAGTTCTGCTCCCCGCTCAGCCATGAAGCTGGCTGGGAGGCTTTGGACTGGGCGCTGACTCTCTGTCTGAACTACCTCCCAGGGCTGTTGTGGTGAGGAGAAAATGGGAGGAGGGAGCTCTATGAAAGCTGCCTTGGGTTTCTTGCAAGGAGAAAGGTGGGATGTGGGCTATAAATCAGAGGAGGAGGAGGAGGAGGTGAGGCCAGCACAGGCAAAGGGGGAGGCCAGCACATTTCAAGGACCTCCAGGCAGGCTTGTGTCTCATCACCGGAAGCATGCCTGGTGGTTCTTCCGACTGAGGCAAAAAGGGGCTGAGCCTGGAAAGAACCATGATGCGAGGGCTAGCGACTTCTTCAGCCCTCGTGACCCCAGTAGCTCCCGCTCAGCTGTGCTCCAGACAGCGGCAGTCAGCCATGCCCTAATCCATCGGACTGTGCATTGGTGTATCCCAAAACTCCTCAGTTTCTCCACCAGGATATCATGGGGCACTTTGTCAAAGGCCTTGCTGAAATCCAGGTACACCACATCCACTGCATCCCCTCCATCTAGCCATCGCGAAACCTTGTCATAGAATTCCACAAGGTTTGTCTGGCAGGAACTGTTTTTGCGGAAGCCGTGTTGTGTGGCTGTCAGCCTCCCTTCCCTATCTAGCATCACTAGATCTCTCTCTATTATGAGCCTTTCCATTGTTTTTCCTGCAATGGATGTAAGGCTAACAGGTCTATAATTCCCCATGTCCTTTCTACTACCCTTTTTGAAAATTGGGACCACTGATGCCACCCTCCAGTCCTCTGGAACTTCACCCATTCTCCACGAGGTCTCAAAAATGGAGGCCAGCGGGCGTGAGAGAACCCCTGCCAACTCTCTAAGTACTCTTGGGTGTAACCCATCAGGGCCTGGCGCCTTTGTGATGTCCAATGCCCTGAGGAGCCCCTCAACTTCAAGGGAGGTGACTAATCTGTGCCCCTAAATCCCCAGCCTCATCTAATCTCCTATGCGGATATCCCCCGTCCTGCTTTGGGGAGAACACAGAGGTTAGAACAGCCTTTTCCAGTTGAGCCTCCTGATGTGTGTACTAGAAATTCCATCATCCCCAGCCTGCAGGGTGTTCTAGAGTCTACCCACACTAGCCTAAAAGAGGTAAGAGAAATGCAATCTTTGCCTGGGGGACTGGAATGGTTTTAGCCAGTCACCAGGTGGGATTTCCTCAGCTGGTTGCAATTATTCCAGGTAGATAGTTAATTGCCTTGGGAGTCTGGCCTTCCTCTCTGCCCCAAGTGAGAGAAAAATGGGGAGATGGTAGCAGAAACCTTCTAACCAACAAAAGCAAGTACAACCGGACTGCCTAACAAAGCAGCTGTAGCATGGCCCTGATATAATACTTTTTGCTACATTTGGGGCAGCAAATCCCATAGTTCAAGCACTCCCCAACTTGGTGGTCTGCAGATGTATCAGACCACCGCTCATCCAATGCCAGACTGACTGGGCATTATGGAAGTTGCAGTCCAGCAAATCTGGAGGGCACCAAGTTAAGTCTCGCTTCCTTCGGTCTTCCCATGTTCTTACCTTCCATAAGCAAAGCGCCTGTCCTTATGATGGTCCCCAAAGGTATCCCAAAGCCGCAAGGAGACACTGACATCATCTACTACATCTCTGGAGCGCTCTAATACCTGAAAGATTAAATATGAGGATCAGGGAAAGGCTGAGAGGAACTGTATTCCCAGTAGGTTTTCAGCCTGGGAAACATTGGGACATTAACTGGATCTCAAAAGGTTTCTTGTTCTTCTCCTCCTCCTTCTAATAGAAGTATTTGAAATGAAATATTTGATTAAGGAAAAATTAAAGGAATAAAACACACCAAGGCTGCAACAGAATACCAACATATCTGGGAATAAGTCCACTGAGCTCAATTACTTCTGAGTAAACAGAAACGGGATTATGCTATTATTACAGTTTCATGGTTATAATCAAGCAATTTCACATTTTCACCTGGACGATATTTTTATTGGAATATTTGCAAATATTTTAAGGCATGGTAATTCAACGGTATGCCCTTCTCTCTCATTATTCTTATTTTAGGGAGGGAGATGAATCATCTGAAAAATAGTTAATATACTAATTTTAGCAAGCCAAAAAAGAGCAATGCATTTCTATTTACTATATATGCATGCATTCTTGGTTAGGTATAACCTCCCCCTCCCATTTTTTCACAACTTTAAAACTGCCCAATTAGACCAGACTTGCATGCATTCATGAGGTCGCTGATCTGTTTTATGAAACCCTGCATTTTTAAAAACAGAGCATGCATTTTCAGATCCAGGACGCTCCTCACACAAAAGCACAACAGAGGAAATGTCTGTTCCCCACATCACTGAAAATCAGAGGCAAGCCCAATTTCTGGCCAGCCGGCCACGAGGGAAGAGGTGCCGCAAGCACGCACAGATGCTTCGCCCATCCCACGTCCATGGGCGCCACTCACCTCCTGACAAACGCGATACTGGTCGATGGCCCAGACGGTGGGCACGTGGGTGGCGAGGAGCTGGTACTGGGTGAGCGTGGCGTTACACGCACGGGCACAGATAAGCCGGGTCTTGCCCACAGCGTTGTCCCCAACCACGACGCACTTGATGGTTTCTACGTTTGGCCTTTCATAATCCATGTCAGAATCCATTAACTGGGACCTGCGAAGAGAGGAGGGGCGGGCAGAAGAATGGCGTCAGGCACTAAAACATTCCTCCGGTTCGTCTGCCTCTGCTCTTGGGCCAGGTGTTCTCTGCTTCCGGGCCAGCTCTTAAGCCTGCTGTTACAGAGTGTTCTCCGGGGAATACCACGCCACTTCCCATGCTCCAGGGAAGACCGACCCAGTAACGCATAACAGAAAATGCTGCAGGAGATACCATTTCATTCTGCCCTCGTTCACGCCATGCCAATTCAGAAACAAAGCACATCTCCAACCCTTCTTTACAAAAATGGTGGCATACTCTTGACAACACTGGAATGGAAGTGGAGATTTTACAGAGGCGTTTAGAGCCCAACCCACTAGCTATAGGCTGGTGGAGACACAGCGGGCAGGGGGCCAACCTAGGGCACAGGGCAACACAGTTAAATGTCGTGCGTGAGAGGTAACGCCAACCAGAGAGCTTGTGTCACCTGCACAAGAGCATCCACCTGCATTGATTCCTCTGGGTGCAGCTGCCCAGAGGGCAAGGAGTGGATAGTCAGCCTCCTTGCCACTGTAGCCATTTGCAAAGAAAAGGTGGTGTCCCCTGGGGTTTGCTTGAGCGGCTGGCACAGGACAGATGACCCCTCTCCTCTCCCCTCCTCCCAGACTCCCTGGCCTCAGGGCCAATGAAATGTGATTTGCACATGGCAAGCTCAACCCATGTACCTCCAGATAGCAGCAGAAGAGGCCTGCATGCCTGCCTGCCTGCCTGCCTGCCTGCCTGAGGAAGGCACCAGAGTAATCTTCTCGGGCAGGCAGCTTTGCCCTGAGCTTCTCAGTGGAACCTCCTAGCGTCGCACCTCGGCAAACCAACCAACAAAAATGGGGCTCCCCCCAACCCTGACAGGTCTCCCAAGGTGTAGAAGATTTGAAAGGCTGCCTTCCTCCAGCCCTGATAAAGACTGCGATGGCCGAGCGAACAAACAAGAGCCTGTGCAAGGGGCGCAGAGCCAAGCTTGCTCCCCACCCCTTCCCAGCACAGATGCCAGGCAGCTGCCCTTTAAAATTTAATAAGCTTTTCAGAGTGTGCATCAGCACGGCTTCTGATAAGACACATGCCCCAATGGTTGGACTTCCCCCCCCCCCCCCCCCCCCCCTCTTTTTGGGAGATCCCCCCCCCCCCCCCCCACTGCCCATTCCTCTCTTTCCATCGCTGGCTGAGGAAGCTTCCAGATCCACTGGCCGTGCTGCAATTCGCTCCTTCACTCATTGCCTGCCCCCCACAACCATGCTTCTGTCTGCCCTCCCCAGCCACGCTTGCGTTTTGCACATGCATGCACATTTCTTGGAAGCAGCCCTGGGGGCACAGCTGCGCCCGCCCGCTGCAGCTAACAGAAACAACTGGCAGGCAGAGCAGCTTAACCTTCAGTATTTCCAGCTGACTTGCAAGAGGATAAAACTGCAAGAATGCACTCCCTCGCTGGGATGTTTTACTCCTCCTGTTTGCTTGGTGGTGAAGCTTGCAATAAGGGTGTCCTGGAGACTAAGCATGTGAATAGGGAGCATCACATAACAGTGGAAAGATTCAACAGGCTGCGGTAAGCAGAGGCACGGCTGCATATTTAGCATTCCTGACTGGGGCAGAGAGCAAATGGCTAGAGACACAAGCCCCAGGCAGAATACTTTGCCAGACAGGCAGTCGAAGGAACAGAGCAGTCTTGCTCCAATGGAAATGAAAGCGTTGCAGCTTAGAACTGGGGCTTTAAAAAAACGCAAGGAGGCAAGAGTGGTGGTTACTTCCTTAAATAGCAGCAGTGAACTCTCAGTGGCACAACCAAAAAGACAAGTGATAGCGCTGCTTGGGGTTGGCGATATGCCGTTAGTCCAGTGACTCATGAGAAGGTAAAATGCGACAGCCCAATAGGTTGCAACTACAACAGCAGCAAAATGTGTAGAGAGGAGAAAGCAGCTCTCAAAAATGCAAATCAGAAGTACAGTGGGGACTCTTCAGTCCCCTCTCCTCCCTTTCAAACATCAAAAGCTCTTGAAGGAGAGGTTAAATGGTAGCAAGTTCCAAGCGTCCCCTAGAATTCCCCTTTTGAGTGAAATGTGGCTCATTACCTTAGCACTCGTGGGACTTTGAAGGCATGGAAGAATTCTGCATTAGAAAGGCTAAACACCAGAGCTTTCCCAGCCCAGGTAAACCTAAGCCACTTTGGTGGATTTAATGGGGTGCAGCCTATTCCAATTGTTTGGCCAAGGTTCAAATTTGGCAGATAAGACTCTACGAACCTCTACAAAGACACCTGACAGTTAAAAGCACTTGGAAAGACTTTGTGGCATGACAGCATTGTTTCTAGGCCATGCAACATCCAACGCAAGGCAGCAAAGTAGTGGGGCTTTTCCACTTGCCCAGGCAACATCCTTCCTGATTTGTGTGTGTGTGTGTGTGTGGGGGGGTCCTCCTGTCATTGCTGATTGAGACATTATAATGCTATCTCACAACAGAGGCGTTAGGGAGAGCAGCCTGATGCACTGGGCACAACCTTTCTGCTCTTCACTTCTGCTTCCTATGTGTGTGCAACTATCTCTGGTTCGATATAGGGTCTGATGCAAGGCTGAAAACACAACCTGCAATCGCTCCACAAGCGAAGGCCCAAGCTTCTCAAAGACCACTCCCGAGGGTGATGCAAAGTCAAGAGCAGCAGTCTGCAAAACAGCTTCCCCTCGCCGGAGCTTGGACGCTTTTCCTAAAGTAGAGCCAGGAGACTTACTTGGAGGCTGCAGTTGGTTGTTTCTTTGATTTTAAAGACAGAGAGCACCGTAAGACGCCTACCCTCATCTCCTGGCGTATATCCAAGAGACCTGGTAGAGCTTCAGAGACTGTGCTTGTCAGTTCTTAGGTGAGCCAATTTGGGAAGACGGGGACCTTTGTCCTGAGATACCTGATGGCTCGCTGCTCAAAGCCTTACAGCAAGGACTGTCTCCTGGCTCCCCAAAGGCCCTTCAGGTCCTTCACACCCGCTTCTCCTCTTCCAAGATGGTAGCAACAGTGGGCATGCTTCCTTGCGCAGGCTTTCTCCCTTCTCACCCAACACCACAAAGCACAGGGTGTGGACTGTAGCCCTGATTGCAGGATTCTGGGAGGTGCCACCCAACACATCCAGAGGCCACTAGGCTGGGATCAGCAGCGGATGCCTTTCCCGTCACAAAGCTGAATCCTACACAGCCACGCTGAGAGCAGTGAACCAGCTAATGGGGGAAAGCATCGTGCTTTCCCATGAAAAGGCAGCACAGTTTGCAGGCTGGGAGGAATCTTATCTCCACAGCTTTGCAGATATCTGCTCTGTGAGAAAGAAATGTGTGCTTGCATTGCTATTAAACAAGAATCAGACTACTATTACTAAGGTAAGTTACTAAATAATCGGGGAGGGGGGAAGAAATAAAAACCACAGTCCAAAAAGTACAAGCCATTTCTCACTAACTGACTTTAAAAGCAATGAGGAGCACGGAAAGTGATCCAGTCATTCAGAAACAGGTCTGAAGTGTCAGGCATCAGTGGATGCTACAAAAAAGGGGACTTGTTTTAAAAATGTGAACACCTGAGACACACCTGGCAAGAAAAACCCAGAGACAATATGGCACACCATGAGAGTTTTCCCTGTAAAGTTCCTGATATGTGACATTGCCAGGAAAGAGGAGAGGCAGGCAAGAAGGGCAATTTGTCTTCCAGTAAAAATGGGGGCGGGGAACACTACTGATTTTAGCCTTTTAAGGCCACAATTGTATATACACTTTCCTAGCTGCAAGCCAATTGGACAAGTGGGATTTAACTTCTGATTAAACACACACTGGACTGCAATTCATGCCTCAACTTAAAAGGGACCCAAACAATCCACTTCTGATTTGCGCCTTGCAGAGCTTCCCGGTGACCTGCACTATCCAGCCTTTCTTTGGAAAAAAGGGTAGGAAAGCACTTTGTGCAATCTTTTCACCAGCCAGTGCGGTAGGCTAGGACTGGCCGAATCTGGGTTCACCCCACTCGCCATGAAGCTCCCTGAGTTAGCATGAGTCAGTCACTGTCTCTCAGTCTGCCTTACCTCTCAAGGGTTCTCTAGAGGATAAAACAGAAAAGGGGTGGGGTGGGGCGGGGGAGAACCATAAACACCACCTTCAGCATCTTGGAGGAGAGAACATGAAAAAGTCACTATGAACTCCTTTGCTATCATACCAATCAAAAACAAATCTTAATTCCGGAACAGGATATAGAAAGTCCATATCTGGTGGGAGAACAAGGGTTGCAAAATTTCGGAGCGGGGCTGCTGTCATCCATCATGGGGCAGCACATTGCTTTTGGGCAAATCCTGACACCTCCTTTTGCTTCCTAGCTCTTTTCTTAGCATTAACTTCTGCATTAAAACCCCAAGCTAATGCAAGCACTCTTACAAAACCGAGTTAGCTCTCCCCCTGTGTGGCTGTGCAATGGGTCAAATCACATGCTTCCAATAGGAACAGGTTTTGGCATCTGAGGGCAGGAAGAGAATGGCAAACACGTGGGTACGTGGGGTGGGAGAAAGGCAAAATGAAAGTGCCATGTGCAGGCAGTCGACAAGAGAGCACCCATGTTGCGTCTGACCAAGGGTCAATCCAGTCCTGGCATGACAACTCATCATATTGGCGTGTCTCCTTCCTCCCCACCTCCCCACCCAGCTGCTCTTCCACTGGACAGTCTTTCCTTGCAATCCGATCCTGCTCTGCCCCAACTCCACCCTGGTACTGTGTCTCACACAACACTCTCCCCAGGTTCCCAGCCCCAGTGGGAAGAGTTCATCGGGCGCATCGCCCGTGTCTATTTTTGTAACTCTTTTGTCTGAGTGCGCACGTTTCATTATCTGCTTTCTTCTCCAGGACCTGCTCCTAGGCTCTGCCGTCATAACTAGCAGATGAGCCGCTCACTGCTGCACCCGCCAGCCTGTTAGCCAGCCGCCAATTCTTTCAGCTGTCTTCGGATCATGCCCTTCTTTCCAGATCAACACAGGCCTCGCCTTGTGTTCCCCTCATCCAGTCTCCTGTCGCTGACATGTCCATAGCTCCAGACTCCAGCTGCTAGCCACCGAACCTGCCTCCCATCCCTCCCAGTGGAAAGGGATCCCTGCAAGCTGCCCAGTCTCCAGTTACCAAGGAAACTAGAGAATCTCCCAGGGAGCTTAACATGTTTCCTAGCAACCGACAGCCTAAAAATCCCGCCCTCCACTGCCGCCCAGTCTTATTTTTTTAAAAAAGGGGGGGACCAAAAATAGAAAGAATGGTAAAACGATAACAACATGTTTAGTTAGAGCAACAGCTGCCTGTTCTACATTTATTTGGGTTGGAAAAGCAAGGAGGGATCGCTTGAAGTGAGAAGCCAGGGAGGGGGCATAGCCCAAGACATCTGCAGACTGAGGCCAGTGCTTGTTTTGTAAATAATGATAATAAATAATGCAGATGGGAAAGGCAACCCTGAAGATGAGCGCTGCGTTTGCAAATCAAGCAGAGCGAGGCACAAACGTTATGCGTGCACGCACATATCGTCTCTCTCCAAGTGGACGGCACATTTCTTCCACACATACCCACCCTGTCAGCCGCAAAGCTCTGTGCAATGAAAAGTACCAGGGCTTAAGACTGCACTCACAGCCCCCCACCGTTCTCGCCTTCCCGCCTGGGTCTGCAAGTGCCACCGGGGCACCGCAACTGCCCGTTTGGGTTCTTTTCCTTGGCAGGGCAGCAGGAACCCACCGAGGCAAAAGGCAAACACGTATGATTAAACAAAGGCTGCTCGACAGGCGTGTCTCCATTTCCCAGGAAGGCGGGTTGAGGTTTTTTTTTCCCGCTCCAGCAGTACCGGATACTAGGGGAAGGAAGGCAAGAGAGAGTCGTAGGCTGTGCGTGTGCGTAAACGCGCGTGTCCACACACAGGCACAGCTCGATTCGACCTGACTTTCTTCTCCAAATCTACATTCCTCACCACCGGCCTGACTCTCTACCGCTCTCCTAGAGACCCGCTGGAAAGGAGATGCCCGGTCCACTTACACCAACACATCGGAAGGAGTAAGCCGCGGGGGAAAGAACCGAACTCTTCCCGGGAGACATGATGACGATCGCTGTAACGGGCGCCGGGCTCGGCCTTGCCCTGCCTCCGCCGCCGTGCCGAGGGCTGTTGCCGGAGGTTGGAGCAATCCTGCTCAGAGGCCGCGCTGACATAACGGTCCGTGCGCACACCGGAGTGCTCCTGGGCGCTGCTGCATCCGTCGCTCCGGCCGCTTCCTCAACATCTTCCCGCGCGCGGCGGCATGGACAGCCCGGCAGGGCTGCGCAACGCCGGCGGCCGCCCTCCGCCTCCTGCCCGGTTTCTTTCGCGGCGCCGGGCTCGCTGCTTCCTTCCTTCCTTCCCTCCTGCCTGCCTGCCTCGTTTCCTCCCTCGCAGCCCTCGAGTTGCGGCGGTGCAACGGCACGGCGGGCGGGCGGGCGGGCGGGCGAGCAGCAGGGCGCGCGCGCGCGCGCGCTGCAGTCCTCGGCGAAGAGACTCGCCCGCCGCCTGCTTTCATTCACAAAAAAACCGAAAAAGAAACCCACCCCGGCGGAGCGCAGCGCAGGCCCCGCCCCGCCCCGCCCCCCCCGCCCGGAGGCCGCTTATTCGCGGAGCGCCAGCAAGGCTTGCAGGGCCGGGCCGGCTGCCAGGCCTTCCTGGCACCTCCGTCGCGGGAACGCGGGGTGGGGACTGGGCACGGCTGCCACTATCGGCTGCCCCGCCCCGCCCCGCCCCGCTCCCCGCCCCTCCTCCAGCGGGCGACACTTCTGCACCCCCCTTCCTTCGCATGCATCCGCCCCCCCCTTGCGCCTGCCGCCCTCTTTTTTCGTGTCTCCCCTTCTCTCTCTCTCTGCCCTGCCTCCCCGTTTATCCCTCTTTCCCCAGTTCTTGCTGAGGAAGAGAGAGTCTTCTGGGAGTGGTGCCCCCAGGCCAAGGCTTGGGGTTCAAGGCCCCACTCAGCAGAACGGACAAGGAGGGTCTCCAGATAAAGCAGGGCCGCTTTGCAACGCAAGACAAGTGAAATAACGCGCAATACCGTCGAAAGAAAGCACCCATCCCTTCATAAAGCCACCTCATCTAAAATCTAAAATTACCTAAAGGCACATCAGCCCCCCTGGGAACAACCCAGCTAAAAGCAAAACCCCTTGTGCTCCAAAGCAAGCACATCGTTACATAACATTTATTCAGCTTTATATTAAAGGGCAAGATTGCTATGGGGTGATGTGTAAGATGGGGAATTCGTCTAGAACTTGACTGCTTAATGGTACAGAGCCGAAGAGGAAGGGGTTGCTTTTTTTTTTTTTTATAAATTTTCCAGTTGTGAACTCCCCAGAAAGATCAGGAAAGCTTAAAACAGATTCCCCTAGATGCTGCTGGTTTGGCAGGTACACCATTAGACATGATTGCAGCTAAAAGAATGTGGTGAAGATTAAGAGATGCTGCAATGGTAAGAACCCAAAGAAGGGCAGTTTCAAACTTGGGTTCAATTCAGAGATATTAAATCAGGAAGAGGTACACTGCCCCACATAACTGTTACCATCTTGAGAACACACACACACACCAGTGTGGCATAGTGGTTAGTGCGTTCAACTAGAACTGAGGAGACCTGGCCAAGGAGCTCCTTGGGTTGCTTTGGGCCAGTCATTGATTCTCAGCCTAACCTATCCCACAGGGTTGTTGTGAGCATAAAATGGAGGTGAGGAAGATTACATAAGCCACCTTGAATTCCTTGCAAGAGGAAAAAAGACAGGATATATTAATTATAATACATAACTATATTTAGCCACCTGGTTTTCTCAGTTACTTCATTTTAACCATCCCCTTCAGTCTACCATTGTTTTCCTCCTGTGATTTTTATTATAACTGAATTCATGTATGTATATCCCACCTCTCTTCCACCATGGCACTCAGGGTAGAAACATGATATTGATAGGTGATCTCCCATCCAAGCACTGACCAGACCCAGGTCAGCTCAGCTTCAAAGTAATGACCACATCAAGTGCTTGCAAGCCACACAATGCAAAGAGTACAGACCAAATACCTGCACTGGTCCCTCTGTTGCCTCCTTCACCCATTTTGATAGATGCTGCAGTCTGTCTCTATCTATGCTTGACATTCTCTTCCCAGCCAATCTGACCAAGAACCAAGGCAGCGATGTCCATGGGAACTTTTATCCATTCCAGCTTGTATTTTGGGCTTTGTAGGAGCTATCCATGATGCACCATGGTGGCAAACCCAGTTTGGAGATGGGGTTCAGCACCATGGACAGCTTTTACAACGTGCAAAATGGGTCTGGAGCACCACAGACCTAGGACTCCTCAGTCCCCTGTCTAAAATGAATGGCTCTGCTTCAGTAGCCACTCACAGCCCAGTGCTCTTCAGATTTGTGGTTCAGCACATCTGTACGGCATCCAGCTGGGGAAATCTGCACCACAGGGAGCCCCATGGAATGGCCAAGCAACAGGGGTCCGGCTTTAAGGTGTCCTTCTTTTCAGACAAGCTGTGAGAGACCAAGGAAGCACCTGCTGAGAGTCCTCTTGTTGCTGCTGCCCTGGACATGGGCAAAACAAGGCCACAGTATTTCTCTTTATCTGTGAAGAGAAACACTTGAGGCGTCGGGGGTGTTAGACAGAAATTACCAGGAGAACGGCCACTTCCCCAGCACCACACAGCTGCATACAACGCTCAAAAGCCTCTCTTGCACACACCCAACACAGAGATCCTCTTGGACGGGCCTAACTCTGTCTGGGCCAGACAGTTTTGGCTTGCTGCTCGCCCTCTCGGCGCCTGGAACACAGGAAGCGGATTCATACCAGCTCAGACTATTTGCCCAGCATTTGGATAACTGGTGGAGGCCTTAGGCAGAAAGGCCCTCCCCAGCCAACCTCCTGCCACCTGATCCTCTCTTACCAGGAGGTCCTAGGACCTGAACCAGAGCTTTCTGCAGGCAAGGCATGTCATGACGCACAACGGACGTCTGTGGGCTGAAGTGCAGCATGTCTTCATTTGTACCTGCCTTCCCTATCTCAGTTCCCTGCAGAAGCATTGCACTCCGGCCGGGACCTACACAAAAGGGAGGCAGGGCTGGGCAAGGCACACCACCCAGCACGGGCCCCCTGGGGAGAAACCCCCGCGTTTGCACGCCTCCTTGCCACAGCAACTTGCACCTGCCCCTCGCCGGGTCCCAGAGAACAGCGGAGAGGAGGAGGAGAGGCTCCTGCCCTCTGCCTGTCCAGCGAACATGGTGGCAATGCAGAGGAGCAAGTGCAGCTGACGACAACGGCACGGGAAAGGCGGGCACAATGAGAGAGGGGACCTGTTGAAGGGGACTTCCCCAAGGGCCCTCACGCCCTGGAGCCGCCACTGACTGCAGCCCCTAGCACTCCCCTCCAGTTCCCAAAGTAGGCTGGGGGATTTGGGGAGTTGTAGTCCAACGTATCCGAATGGCACCATGTGGGGAAATAGAATCGACGAATGGTAGATTTGGAAAGGACCTACATGGCCATTGAGTCCGACCCCTGCTCCAAGGCAAAGCATCCACCTGCCTCTTGAATGCCTCCAAGGTGGGAGAGCCCACTGCCTCCCTACCTTATCAGCTCCATCGCTGTGCTACCCTAACAGTCTGGAATGTACATCTGTCAGCATCTGGACCGATCGACTCTGCTGGACCCCTGCGTGCAGCAGCAGCAAACACCGCCCCACAGCTGGGTGAGCTAAACGCCCCGCCCCGCCCCACCCCTAAGCTCCTCATGCTGAAATAGCTCTCACCACCCCCCCCACCCCGGGCTGGTTTCAATGCTGGCGTGGCTCGCAGACAGACGATGAATGGGGCCAGGCCAATGGCAGGCTGAGCGGCAGCACAGCTCTCTGGGCAGCCAGGACCAGCTGCTGTGAACCAGCACATCGAGGTCATGTGATCGCCTCATTGTCCTCACTCCCCCCCCCCCCCCCCCCCCCCCCCCCCGCATGGCCAAAATAAACTGGTTCCTGCTCTCTTCCTGTCGGGATCGGCTTAGCCAGAGCCCCTCCGAACCATCGAGGCCGGCACTGATGCAATCCCGCGTCAGCCCGCGTCATCGCTCCAGCGGCATCAGCCGCGCGCTGCACCTTCGCATTCCGGTCACACACAAGCCTCTCCCGGCCGCTGGAGGCCTCCCGCTCCCGCCACCCCTTCCTCTCTTCTTCCACCCGCCTCCCCGCCACCCCGTCTTCTTCTTCTTCTTCTCCCCCTCGGTCTCCCCTTCGCCGTTCCAGCTGCACTGCCAGGCGCCACGCCGCAGCAGCCTCCCCTTTTCCGTTTCTCACCTAACTCGAAAGACGGGGATCTCTCTCTCCATAGCAGAAGAAACGCTTGGCTTACTTGACTGGGGGATCCTTTAGGTTTTGGTGTGGGGGGTGGTTTGCTTAAAGGCCAGCTCCTTTGCCAAGCCCACAGGGACCTTAAGAGCTAGCAACGAGGCTAACCAGCTTCACGCACCACGCTGTTTATTTCCCTGCATTGGGCTGGACTGAAATCTGCAGGCTGGCAGTAGAGAGACGCAGACTTTAGCTTCCTTCTTCGAGTGGGTCACGGGGGAAGGAACGCATAACGCTCTCTTGCCAGCCGCATGATTTGGCTTATTTTGCTGTGCTTCGTAGCAGGTGCTTAATTGTGGCATAAAAAGTGCCTGGCAGCTCTCACTATCAAGTCTCATTCCTGAATGGCTTCCCACTGCCTTGTGCAAGACAAAAGCATAATTGTTGTAACTTGGGTCAAAGCAATCCTTCGCTCCGTTTTAATCAACATGGGGCATCTGAAGGAAAGGATGGTGAGTTTTTTGCAACGTGCCGGGCTTCACTTTGTCTAGTAGGAGGTGCTACAGGGCATGAGGTGGAATTCTAAGTCTTAGAAGGTAGCCCCCCCCCCCCGCCTCCCAGTATTATGGGATTGCCGCTATCAACCAACCACAGACCTGCTGGGAATTGTAGAGGGCACCATGCTGGGGATGGTTGATTCTCCACAACGCAGACTAGTAGAATGTGTCACAAGCACAAAAGAACTGATGAAGTGGGACAGTGACCGTAAAAGCCGGTGCCAGAATAAATATGTTAGCCCTTAGGGTACCACAAAACTACTTCGTTGTTTTTACCGCAGTAAACCAACATGCAAACTCTCTGGAAATTAAAGCAAAGATCTGACAGCCTTCTGCAGGGGGATGCCCTCCAGCTGCATCCATTTTATCAGGATGGGAAAGGCAACCTAGAAATATATGCAGTTATAGGATCTCATCCACAACCACCTTTCAAGGCGCAAAACAAACATTTGTAGCACATTATAAAAAAGTGTGTTAACAGACAAATGTTTTTAACCTGACTTTAGAATACACGCAGTTTACAGATGAA